ACTCAAGGTAAGCTGGAACTAATTAGTGTTCAATCTCCTTTGTACCCTTCCTAGTTCTCAACTAACCCAATAAATGAATCTAAACTGCAGCATTCCATTCACGGTGGAAGACATATCTAAGTCAATGCAGCAAGTGGACGTAAATGACATTGAGGCTCCTCAACTGATCCGAGAAAACTCAGGTTTCGGATTCTTACTCACACGTAAAGAAGGCAGTGCATCGTAAGTGAGCTCTGTAAGGTCCATCAAATACGATCTACATAAATACATCGTGTGAGCCACTGGATTTCTATGGCCATTTTGTGTATATTATTTTCCCTTCTTGATTTGGTTCTCAGTCTCTGGCCTTTGTATTTGTGGAAAGGCCAATGTTTGTTTCATTCTTTGCATCCCTGTGGTTATGGCAACTCACAGGGGTTATTTGTTTTTGCATTTGCTTTTGTCATAGAAATGTGTTTGATGCTGTCCTGTCCAGAGAGGGGAGGAGAGTATTGTTGGTTTAGTCAATTATTTTGTATCTGTTGGTTTGGGCGAGACTTGTGTGAAATTGTAATGAAGGAACTAGACTTTGTTTTCACTATTTTATATATAGGTTGTACATCAAATACCTTTCACATGTGATTGTTTGTTAGTTCTTTAATTGTCTTTTAAGTACATTATTCTGTTTTGAAATGGTTATAGTACTGTTGCAATACTGTAACGGACCTAGGTAGAATCACATGATCTAAAACGTAATATTCTGTAATACAAGAATTATAATTACATTATACTGTTTTGAAATGGTTATTAGTACCATTGCGATACAGTAAACCTCCTCCCAACACTATTTCTGTTTGTGTTGAAGCAGAGACACATTCACTCTGTCCCCATAACTAGCTGAGAGTGTGATTGTGATGTCATTATAGTGAAGTCTCAATTGTATGTAGTTCCGATATTTAACAATTATTCCTCAGGAGAACTTTGCACAGGATCCCGATGACTTAGCTCTGTAATAGTCGTCTTGTAAGTAAAGAACATAGATATCTGATTGGGATTAAATTCTTGTAATGGTTCAGCCATGCTCACCCTATCCCTTGGATACTATACTCTTCAGAACACCTTATTCCCACCGGCAAAACCAGTCTCAATAACTCATCAATGGCGTTGCTGCCTGCCTTCAACTTCCTCACCATCTCTTGACAAATAGGCGTAGCTGTGGACGTTATATTCGCTTGCAAATGATATGTCTGTCGGTTTTCTAGCCAATGCACATCTCCAAAACTAGAACTTCGAAGCTGTACACATCTCCTTGTATTTCATGAAACTAACCGGTCCTTACCCTTGCAAATAATTGAATCAGGCCGCTAAGGACACCGGAGCCTTAGAGAGGCGAAAGACAAACTTGAGAAGCGTGTTGAAGAATTAACATGGCGTTTACAACTAGAGAAACGAGAGAAAGTTAGCTCATTTCCATACACTACTAGCATAATATTATCCTTCGTTTTTTTTTACTATTATTGATAATTTGTGAGGTAACATAGACCGATCTGGAAGAAGCCAAAGCCCAAGAACAGTAGCCTCTGCAAGCTATGCGGTTGCAAGTTGCAAGATGAAGAAGCAAACGCTGCTGTGATTAGGGAATGTGAGGCTGCAAGAAGCACCTCCAGTTATCAAGGAGACTCCACTCCAGTATTGTTTGCTGGGATGGGCCTTTTGGCCCATTCTGTAGAGACAAGTAGGCCTTGTTTTCTTAGGTCCATCTTCCCTCCCGACCTCCTCTACATTCCTCTGGTCCTCAGCCTTGGTCCAATCCAAGCTTGCCAATGCCAACCGGTCCCTCAATCAAAAACCTCGTCACCACTTCTGAAGCATATGCTTTGATGGAGACACTAACAATAGTTTACTGTAAACTGTGTATTTTTTTTTGTTACAGGCTTTGCTTCAGTCTGAACGACAATCTACAGAAAGACTTTAGAAAAGCTTTCTCAGAGGCTTAGCCTAGAAACTCAGAACTTGAAAATTCTACAAAGAAAGGCAGATCAGCTTCATGATCGGTACAAAGGTTCGTTAAAAAAAAAAATATCGCTAAAGGATAAAACCAAAGAGTACCTATGTTTGTTGAACTCGTCAGTATACAATGACTGATTCGTTATGTTTACAAGTCCCCAGGCTGCAAATTGAGAGGATAAAACAAATGAGAGAGCATGTTTGTTGAACTTGTCAGTAGACTCAGTATACAATGACTGATTCTTTTTGTTTACAAGTCTCCAGGCTGCAAATTGACACTTTTACTAGTTATTGTTATTTATCCATGTTGGTTAATTAAATAAGTTATAATACTTTTCTTCTGTTTCTGGACTTCTACATATTGATTTTGCTTCTGCTTTTAGATTGGAAGAGAAGCTTTCCAACTCAGAGTCAGAGATTCAAGTTCTCTGTCAACAGGCACTTGCTATTTCGCCAACCAGCAGGACCATAGCCACGCAGATCAAAAACAATGAATTTACCGGAAGAAGCAAAACAACAGGCGGCTCTGCAAGCTATGTGGTTGCAAGTTGCTATGATTAGTGAACGTGAGGCTGCAAGGAAAGCTACTGAAGAAGCACCTCCAGTTATTAAGGAGACGCCGGTATTGGTCGAGGATACTGAAAAAATCAATTCATTAACATCAGAGCTGGAGGCTTTGAAGGTATGCCCTTTTTTTTTAACTTATCTGATCATCCTTTATATGCTCACTATAATAGCTAGCTGATTTATGCTACTTAGTCCCTTAGTATTGTAAGCTGGGTGTGTTAATTTATGTCATTTTTTTTGTTACAGGCTTCGCTTCAGTCTGAACAAAAGGCTGCAGAACACTTGAGAAAAGCTTTCTCAGAGGCAGAGGCTAGAAACTCAGAGCTGGTCACAGAACTTGAAAATGAAGCAGACCAGCTTCATGAATCGGTACAAAGGTTCGTAAAAACATATTGATGAATGATAAAACAATAGGCCTTTTGTACATTTGACGGTTTCGTTTTGTGTACGAGTCATTGTTATCCTTGTTTGTTAATTAAATAAGTTATAATTCTTTTCTTCTGTTATGTAATTTTACATATTGATTTTGCTTCTGTTTTCAGACTGGAAGAGAAGCTTTCCAATTCAGAGTCAGAAATTCAAGTTCTCCGTCAACAGACACTTGCTATTTCTCCAACCAGCGGAACCATGGCCACGCGATCAAAAACAATGCTATTACCGGTACCAGCAACATAGAAGTTCTTGTTTTTCCTTACATATTAACACAAAAAGGCCTATTTGATCATTTATTCTTTCCTTCTCAACGTTCAGAGAATCCCAGAGAATGGAAATAATCTTCTTAATGGAGAAACAAAGACTACACCGGTAAGAGGAAGTGACCTTTTCTGATTAAATTTGCAGGTTCGACCCGGACACGTTCTTGTTTCTTTAATTGGTTTTATCTATAACTGTCACAGGACATGGCTCTTGCTGTACGAGAACCAGAATCTGAGGAGAAACCACAGAAATCTCGGAGTGAAAAGGAGCAGGTAACATATACTTGAACTTCTTGTACTAATTGTGATGGGGACTATGTTATGATCTTTGCGTTATTAAGGAAAACCAAGATCTACTAGTCAAGTGTATCTCACAAAACCTTGGATATGCTGGGGGCAAGCCTGTTGCTGCATGTGTCATATTCAAAAGTCTTCTCCACTGGAGATCATTTGAAGTCGAAAGAACTAACGTCTTTGACCGTATCATTCAAACAATAGCTTCGGCCATTGAAGTAAGTTGATTCTTTCTTGCTTCATTGTTCAGAAGCATTAATAAGTTATTTTAACATGTTTGACTCTCCAAAACGTTGAAACATTTGTGAATGTCAATATGGAATATGTTGTCTTCCACACAGGTCCCAGATAATAACGAGGTTTTGGTGTATTGGTTATCTAATTCAGCCACGCTATTATTGCTTCTGCAACCACTTTCAGCAGCTAGTTTAACATCACAGGGACGAAGAACATCATCAGCATCTCTATTTGTAAGGATGTCACAAGTAAGAAACTGGGAATCTTTTTTGTTATTTTTTATAGTTTCCATTTATCTGCCTTGTTGTGCAGCCTCAGTTCATCTTGTGTGTTTCTTTAACAATTTAAATAGGGATTAAGGGGATCTCCTCAAAGTGCTGGAGCTGGACTCTCGTTTCTGAATAGACAGGGGGTCACTAAGCTTGACGACCTGAGGCAAGTTGAAGCGAAGTACCCCGCACTACTTTTCAAGCAGCAGCTTACTGTGGGGTTTAGCCCCAATAACCATGTCCGGTCTTGGACATGGAGGATACATGTTGAACCTTGTATCCATCCTAGCTTTTTCTCCATGCATCTCTAGAAACACATTCTCTTCCAAGTCTAACGATCTAGCCATGCCCTTAAATAATTGCTCAACCACTGCATGTTGCTTCATTGTGTATTCATGCAAAGTTTCCCTAAAGAAACGTTTGTCATAATCATCAAAGTCGAATGCACCACGATGAAATATTTAAACGTATGGATTTTACCTGAATCCGATTGGGAGTTCAGGCCAGAATTTGCTTATGTATAGCTTTTTTTTTTTTTTAACACCAGTATATAACTTAAAGAAATAATAAACTTAGTTTGTTGTCAATGCAAGGTGGCTATTTGTACACCACCTATACTAGTTGCAATGTACTTTTTATAGTATAAAGTTCAGTGGTCATGATTGGTGAATCGGTGATGAGGCAGGGATTCCGGTTTCAGTTCGGTACGGAGTTTTGTTTATTTCCTTAGGGAAAATGGTAAAAAAAGAATTGAGCGTTACAAAATTGGAAACTTTAGCATTTAATATCAGAAAGTGTAGTAGTTTTCAACCCTCGACACGGTTTGCAACCTCTGCGTTAACTTCCATAAATAGAGGACTCGAATCAAACAGACATATTTAATTAACCAAAAACGCTTCTCTCTCTCTCTCAACAGTTTCTTCTCTATCACTGAATCTCTCTAACAGCATTCATGGCGGCAACTGGAAGATCAAGAAGTTCACCAGTCCTATGCCATCTCTCTTCTCCTCAGGCGTTACCCAATCATCATCACCAAAGAGCATCCGCGTCTCCTTGCAATATCAAGTGTTTGTGCTCTCCTACGACGCACCCTGGCTCGTTCCGGTGCGCTTTTCACCGCCGTTTAGAAAACGAGAAGAACAGAACCCTAAATACGCCGTCGAAGCTAAGCAAGAGTGGTAACACGACGAGCAGTTCAGGATTGAATTTGAGAAAAACGGTGTTGGTGAATGCGCTCGCGAGGATCACGAGTGTGGAGGCAGAGAGATTAAGGTTATCTTTAGCGGCGAGTATGGTTAAACCGTCGTCTCTCCATATTGGTCGCCGGTTTGATTTCCGGCCAAGACCTAGCCGGTTCTACGCATTGCGTAAAGATCAAGATTTAATAGCTAGGTTTTGTCGACTTTGACCTATTTCTTGTGTAGGAAGGAACTATGTTTTTGTTGACGAAAATTCTGACTAGACTACACATCACTGCTTAAATGTCTTTTTTTTTGTTTAATATTCATTAGAAACTTTACTCTTGGTGAAATGTAATCAGGGGAGTCATAAATTCTGATGACTTATAAACTAAAGCCTTAAATTAAACAAGTTTCTAGTTTATGTTTGACTTGACTTTGAGCTTTTCGTATGTTTGACTATGAAGTTTCCAGTTTTGGCTTATACAATGAGAGATATAAATATGCAGGAAGAATGTTTTCTTTCCAATGTTGACAATGATGCCATTTTTTGGTAGAATGAGAGATATACATATATATATATTTTCAAAGTAATTATTTTTTTGTATATATCTATCTATTTTATTAGATGATTACATAAAATAATAAAGTAACATAAACTGATATATGTTTAATTGACAAATTGTTTTTATAATTAGTATTATTGAAAAATGTTTTTTATTTTTTTTTATATTTATTTGACTATAATATTTTACAATTACAGAAAAATATAAATTCTATTTTACTTGTATAATATAATTTCTCAAAACAATAACATTTCACAGTATTTTAAGAGATATTTTAAGAAAAAATAAAAATAAATTTTAATAATAAATATTTTTTGATCAAATAAAAATTATTTTAAAATATCATAACACTATATAATTTAACAAAAAAAACGAAGTAGATGTAATATATTTTAATATTTTAAATTATATGTTTTCTTAATAACTCTTTTGATTTTTGATTTTCGGTTTTATATTTGTGGAATTTAATATAACCATAATCAAAATACTTAAGCAAATCAAAATCCTTATTTTTAAAATTATTTAAAATAAATTTCAGTTTACCATGAGTCAATCTAAATATTGTAAATACTGATATGTGTTCATAAGCTTCCAAAAATTTATTAGTTACTTATGTATGTAATTTAGAATCAGACAGTTTAGTTTTTATTTTTTATTTCTAAGCACAAAAAATCTTAAATTATACATAATTTTAATAGATATACTTATATTTCTAAGATAACAATCTGCATAAATGTAAATAAGACAGTTAATCAAAGTTTTAATATATTTGTAATAAAAAAATTATAGTTGAATTCAGAGAAATATATAGAATCTAGTATATTCAAATGATAACTAAATCAGCCGTAAAAACAATAAAACTGACGAAATATAGCATATCTAAAATTATATCTATTATATTAAAAGAGAAGTCATGACTCATTTCATGTGTGATTTTTTTTTATTTGGACCATTAGCAAAAAAAAGTTTTATTAAATATATTTCATTTCTTTGTAACCTCTTCAATCATAATATCTTTGATATCTTTTTATTTTAATATAAATATGCATTAATTCCTTTTAAAAATCTGTTGAAAAGATTTTAGCAAGATCTTAACTTTAAAAACATTATATAAATATTTCACTAATTAATAACTTGAATAAAATTTTGAATTTGTAATGAAAATAACTCTACATTAATATATATATATATATATATGAAAACAGATTTTATTCTTTTTATCTATTTAATAATCATAAACTATCAAATTAAATGAAATTATTATAATAAAGTGAATGTTATAAAATTATGTTAAATTGATAAATTAATCAATTTTATTTTCATAAATAAAAAATATTAATGTTAAAAATATATAATACATTGGCAGAACAGATTAACATTAGTAACTATAAATACATGTAAAAAATTAACATATCTTAAACTTTTATGATATCATATTATCTTTATAAACATAAAAAGTTTAATAAACGGTAATCTAACTTTGAAACTCAAATAATAATTTAGTATAAATTATATATAAAATAATATTATTTTTCATGCATATATTAATATCAATAATTAAATATAAAACCAATTAGATAAATATATAATAAGAAACAATTGATATTAACGTACACGCTATAAAACTATTGTGTTTGTAATAGTTATATAAACATTTAAACATATGAGTAACGTTATTAATGATATAAAACAAATATATATATATATATGAAAACAAAACCCGCGCAGTTGCGCGGGTCCAATTCTAGTATATAATTAAATTAATATAATATTATTAATAGAAGTTATACTTACAAATTATAAATTGATTTAAAACTTAAAGTAAATATCCTAATTTTTCGTAATTTATTTCATAAGGAAAACTATTACCTCACACATTCGTACGTCTAGCCGAAGGAAATATTATAGAGTAATTTTCTAATATTTTAATCAAGTAAATAAGTAGGTTAAAGCATGGAAATAGACAAGAGATACAAAATAATATTTTGTGGAAAATAGAGAAAAAAATAATAATATTTCATGGAAGAGAAGAAAAACAAAATAAAATTTAAATAAAGATTAGGAGAAGGTTGACTTGTTGTTCCCCGCTCTGCACGCTTGCTCTCTTCTCTCTCACAACCAGAGCTTCTTCCTCGATCCTCCTCTTACATCAAGTCGTACTTTCTCATTCCTCAGGTTCTTCGATCATAAATCTTTGTCAAAACATTTAGCTAGATGATTTGTCAAAGAAAAAAACATTTAGCTAGATGATCACTTAGGAATTTTATCTCAATCTTGATCAGGACGTTGATTTGTAATTCATGGAGCGGTTAACATCTCCTCCTCGTCTCATGATTGTCTCAGATCTTGATGATACAATGGTATAAAACGCCATCACATCATGTAAGATTCTTATGTCAGGAACACCTTATTTTTCATATCTGTGTGTGTGTGTTTTGCAGGTTGCACACCATAATGATAATGAAAATCACTCTCTGTTGAGGTTCAATTCATTGTGGGAAGACGCTTATCGCCATGACTCTCTTCTTGTTTTCTCAACGGGAAGAGCAAAAACAATGTACAAGAAACTGAGGAAAGAGAGACCGTTGTTAACTCCTGATGTTATTGTTACCTCCGTAGGAACTGAGATATCATATGGTAACTCCATGGTTCCTGATGAGAAATGGGTTGAAATCATGAACAATAAATGGAACCGAGGAATCGTTGAAGAAGAAACCAGCAAGTTCCCTGAGTTAACTCTTCAGGTTACAAACAAAAGTCCTCTCTACATAGCAACGATTTTTGTATAACAAGAGTGTCTGATCATTACTTGCAGGCAGAAACTGAACAGATGCCTCACAAGCTTAGCTTTCACGTCGACAAAAGTAAAGTCCAGGAAGTGACCAAGGAGCTATATAAGCGGTTGGAGAAGCGCGGGGTAATTAGATTAGTTAATATTGTTCGTTTACTTATGAATATTTTATGATTATGGCTTGATTCTTGGTATTTGATATCAGTTGGAGATCAAAATAATCTTCAGTGGAGGAATAGCTTTAGATGTTTTACCAAAAGGTGGAGGCAAAGGGCAAGCGCTTGCTTATCTGCTGAAGAAGCTCGAGACTAAAGGGAAACTTCCTCTTAATACTCTGGTTTGTGGTGACTCTGGAAACGATACTGAACTATTTACTATTCCTAACGTCTATGGTGTCATGGTTAGTTTAATTTCACCAACTTAATGATATCTCTGTTTTGCTTTTTCAGTTTTCCATGTTTGTTATTCACAGGTAAGCAATGCTCAAGAAGAGTTGTTGGAGTGGTATGCTGAAAACGGGAAAGACAATTCAAATATAATACATGCGAGTGAGAGGTGTGCAAGTGGGATTATAGAAGCGATAGGTCATTTTAAGCTCGGTCCAAAATTTTCTCCGAGGGATGTTTCTGACTTCTTAGAATGCAAGGCGGATAATGTCAACCGGCCGGGTCATGAGGTTGTGGAGTTTTTCTTGTTCTATGAGAGATGGAGAAGAGGTGAAGTTGAAAACTGTGAGGCATACACAGCGAGTCTCAAAGCTTCATCTGTTAGTATATCTATCTAAACCCTTGTTTCTCTCTTTATCCACAAATCTTACAGTATTCAAGAGACTAATTAATGATTGTATTATCCTTTTGTCAACAAAAAAAAAAAAACACCTTCAGCATCCTGCTGGTGTCTTTGTTCATCCATCTGGTGCTGAAAAATCTCTCAGAGACACTATTGATGAACTTGGGAAGTACTATGGAGACAAAAAGGACAAGAAGTTTCGGGTTTGGACAGATCAGGTGATGGCAACAGAAACTACTCCTGGGACTTGGATTGTAAAGCTTGATAAATGGGAACAAACTGGTAATTAATTAAAAGGCTTAATTATATGCTTACACAAAACCTAGTAAAAAACTATTTTCTTCCTTAATTGTTGATATTCGGATTATGGATATATAATCGCAGGGAGTGAAAGGAAATGCTGCACAACAACTGTCAAATTCACCTCAAAGGTAAGAGGGAATGCAACTGTACACTAGTATACAAATCTACAGTATAAGAGTAGATTCAGTTTCTTGAGGATTGACAAATGTATTGGAATTGAACCTGCAGGAAAATGAAGGGTTTGTGTGGGAAAATGTGCAGCAAACATGGTCGGAAGAATCAGATGTGAAAGATGAGAGTAACTGGATCATCTGAATGATTATCATCTTTTTGGATTTTCCATAAAACGTTTTATCATTGGTTGGATTAAACTTACATTCAAAAGTGCCATCTTATGCCTTTTGGAGTCACCTATGTCACCATTGCCATAGAATTAAAAAAAAAACATGTATTATGTCCTAGTTTTGAGTATATAATTGGATGTTATTGAATTTAACAACTCATTTTTATCAAATTCTCCATTTTTCATTTGTTGGTCTAAGCATCTCTAATATATATAAAAAAATGTTTTAATCTGAGAATTTGAAATGATTGCATTACAATAACAAACCACTGTTATTGAAACTGATATTTCATAAATTATTTCAAAATTCAAGGTTATTAAAGATTATTTAAGTTGTGAGATTTTAATTTTTTCAAGTGATTTTATAATATTTGAATGAGTTTTTTTTAGTTAAAAAATAAATCACATGGTTCTAGATGATATTCAAAAATGGGTTTACAAATAAACTCACCAATGCATATAAAATCATCTAAAAATTCATTACAAATCAAATCGCTTCATATTCTATGTTAAACACGCACCCTATTCTAAGAGATGGTTCCCGGTAATAGGGGTGGACACAATTACTTGCTACTTGGCTTGTACTCGCTACTTACTTCGTACTTGGCTCTTAAAGTCGAGTACTCGTTTTGTCCAAGTCGAGTATCAAGTCGTTTATTTCAATTACTTGCAAGTACAAGACAAGTACCAAGTACTAAAATGGAAATAACTACTTGGCGTTGTTGGCTTGTTACTCGTGACTTATTACTTGATTTATTACCCGTTTTTTACTTTTAGACAGAAAAAATCTCTAAATTATAATCGGATTACTTGTTTATAAAATAAATGAATTAAAAGTGATATATTATATAGAATATTTTAGGGTTTTCTTTTAATTTTATATTTATCATATATCGATTTATAACATATGAAAAGTAAATAAATATTTTTTATTAAAAATTGTTTAGATTATAATTATAACTAACTATTTTTTTGTTAAATTCATATACAAGGTTTAAGTAGGTAAAACTAATATACTATTATTAAATAATTTAAAAATAATTATATAATAATTTATAAATTAGTTTAGAAATAACAAGTAATAAAACGAAGCAGATACTTGCAAGTATACCATTTTTAACAAGTATTTGAAAGTGCAAGTACTTGTTTTTAATAAACCAAGTATAAGTCCAAATTTGTATTACTCGAAGTCTCGAACAAACCAAGTACCAAATACGCCAAAAATGGCAAGTACTTGGTTTGTGCCCACCCCTACATGAATATTTCCATCCAACTAAATTGGCACATCAACCTTTTTCATAAGTTACCACATATATTTTTCCAAACAAAAAAATCTTGGTTCACCGTAGTCATTCTTCATCTCCTCATTTGCAGAAACCTATAACAAAAAAAAAATCGATGCATCTCTTCTTTTGCAAGAATAGTTACGCTCATGTTGTATATATATTCATAAATTATACTTAAATATTTAGTTTATTTAAATATTTAGTTCATGAATTATTTTTGACTTTTTTATTTTTTAATTATTTTTACGGATCCAATTCCAAATCTGGATATTCACGGATATCACAATATCTAGACGAATATTCGAAAGACACAAATCTGAATTCGGTTACTAAAATCACGGATTCGACAAATCCAAATCTGGATCCGAATACTTCAAATTGATCCGGATACTTTAAATTTCTCGGATATCCGTCCCGCCCTAATGTAAAGTATAGACTCGACACTTGTCAACATAATGGGCTTATTCGATTCGATATTTACTTTTTCTTACTTTAACGTCAACTAGATTTTGACCCGCGCAACCGCGCGGGTGTTTGTTTTCGTTTATAGTTAGTTATATAAACATTTTGTTTTCACTTATAAATTGGTATATATCATAGTAATCACATATTTACGATATGTATAGTAAATGTTTTTCAAATATAATAATATTATATAATATGTGTTTTAATCAAATAGATTATTTCAAATTTTCTATATTATACATGTTTTTTCAAACATGTGTTTGTTTCTTCTTCTAGATTTTATTGTTTGTTAGATTAGTATTTCATTTTTAGATAAATTTATATAAATAAAGCTTGATTAAATATTAGTATACTTTAATTTTCAAAGATAATATAAACTTCGAATTTTTTTTTTTGCTAAAAACTAAACTTATAGCTTCATAAATTAATATTAGAAAGAATTTTATTAAAAAAAATTTTTTAAACAATTTTTTTAAAACAATATAATTTTAAAAATTTACATCGAAATAAATTTACCTAGTATATATAACGTGTAAACTTTGTTAGGGTATATAAATTTTCCATATTACGAATATGTGATTTTTGTTAATATATTGTGGATGCATTTAATTATTATTGACATATTTCCTTATAAATAATAGAAGATTCCTAAACTTATATTGTTTGACATATTTTGCGTGACTAAATTGGAAGGTATGAGATAATTTACCAAAACAAAATTGTTAAGCGTATATTTGTTACTATAAATATGATTTTTCATAAGATATAATAATGATAAGTTTATTAGAGAGTTAATGTAATATGACTTTCTAGTAATAGTCCATTTTTTAAAAAATCACACATGAAGTCAAGTCATGACTTCTGTTTTAATATATAAGATTAGATTCTTGCTTCTTCCCTTTCTCAGAGTATTTATTGTAAAAAATCCTGATTTTTATATAGAATAAAATAATATTATTATAATATTTGGCTCTACCATTACACCCTTTGTCGTGCCTTTCAGACAAAGCTATTGCCCAAAAGAAAAAGAAAAAAAAAAAGACAAAGACAAAGCTATCTCGTTCACATGGTCTCATAATCTTCTTCTTCCTTCATCCTCTTTCCATCGCCGCTTCGTCTTCCTCCTCCCAGAAAATTCTCATATCCATTTCCCGAGAAAACCCATTTCAGATTATCATCTCACCAGACACACACATCTCTCGGCGATTAAAGATCTCGATTCCAAGAGGTAGACACGTCTCGTGTTCTACCCTATAATCCCTAGGGCATTTTTGTAAAATTATATACACAAAATATTGTATCTTTCTGTGTGCATTGAAACTCATGACCGGTTTAAAGTTGTAATCTTTATTTTGGAATCTTCTTTTTTTTTTGCTTCTTACGAGTTATTGCCATGGAGAAGCTAAAGGGAAAGTTAGAAGAACCAGAAACAAGCCAAAGTCAATCATCAGACGATCCAAATCTCGAACCTTTAGATTACATCTCAAAGGCACAATCATTAAAAGAAGCAGGTAACAAGCTCTTTCAACGAAGAGATTACGATAATGCAATGCTTAAATACAGAGAAGCTATAGATTCACTCCCTGAGAATCATGTAGAGGTTTCTCACATTCGGTCCAACATGGCTTCATGTTACATGCATTCTGATCCTGGAGAGTATGCAAAAGCTATCCATGAATGTGATTTGGCACTTAACATCACTCCTGATTACACCAAGGCTTTGTTGAAGAGAGCTAGATGCTATGAGGCGTTGAATAAGTTGGATTTGGCGTTGAGAGATGTTTGTTTGGTTTCTGATTTGGATCCTAATAACCCCATGGCGTCTGAGATTGCTGTGAAGCTTAAGAGGACTTTGGAAGGGAAAGGGTTGATGGTTAAAGATTCGGTGATTGAGTTGCCTCCTGATTATGTTGAGCCTGTTGCTGCTCACCTTGCGTTGTGGGCTAAAAAGGGTAAGGCGAGAGTGAAGAAAAAGAACAGGAGTAGTAGTCAAGTGCAAGAGAAGAGTGATGATGTTGAGAATGCTGAGTCAGAGAAGAAGAACAACAACAATCTTATAGATGTAAAGGGCAAAGAAAAGATTGTTGATAAGAGCAAGGAGCAAGAGGAAGTTATAATTGAGGATAAAAGTATTGGAGATGTGAAGAAGACTGTGAAATTTGTTTATTCTCATGATGTTAGATTGGCTGAACTGCCTTTGAATTGCACTCTGTTTCACCTTAGGGAAGTGGTTCATGAGCGTTTCCCTAGCTTGAGAGCAGTTCATATAAAGTACAAGGACCAAGAAGGAGATTTGGTGACAATCACAACAGATGAAGAGCTGAGGATGAGTGAGGTGTCATCCAAGGACACTAAGAGGATGAGGTTCTATGTGGTGGAAGTTAGTCCTGAGCAGGATCCCTTTTTCGGAAGATTAGTTGAGATGAAAAAGCTCAAGATAACAACTGATTCTTTCAAAGCAAAGGCAAATGGTAAAGGTAGGTGTAAGATTGAAGATTGGATGGTTGAGTTTGCTCGGCTTTTTAAGATCCAAGCTAATGTTGATTCTGAGACATGCTTGAACCTTCAAGAGCTTGGGATGAAACTGAACTCAGAAGCTATGGAGGAGGTTGTAACATCTGATGAAGCTCAAGGGCCTTTTGATAAAGCAGCTCAACAGTTCCAAGAATTGGTAGCAAGATCTTTGGTAAAGCTGGGACATGTTCACATGTCAGGTGCAAGGAAAAAGTTAAGCCTCATACGAGGTGTGTCTGGAGAATCAGGTTCAGAACATGTTAAAACTGCTTATGAATGTGCTCAGAAGGAGCATGCAAAAGCAAAAGAGAAGTACGAAGAGGCTATGAAAATAAAACCTGATCTGCTTGAAGTGTTTCTAGCGCTAGGTCTTCAACAATTTGAGGAAGCAAGACTCTCATGGTACTATGTACTTCTCAGCCACCTTGATTTGAAAACATGGCCTCATGCAGATGTAGTACAGCTTTATCAAAGCGCCAAAAGCAATATCAAAAAGTCTATGGAAGGGTTGAAAAGTTCGGAATCAAAAGTTCTAGGTTCAGCAGATAAAGCAGCAAAGTTGAAATCTTGGCTAGATGTTTTATCATGTGCTGTGCTTTACGAGAGATCAATGATGGAGTACAAACTTGACCTACCAACGTGGCAGGAGAATTTAGAAGGCGCAGTAGTGATACTTGAGTTAGCTGGAACTTGTGAGGAGGATGTTGCTGCGTTGATAAGGGACGATTATGTGACAGACAATACTTTACGAGGTACTGCGTGAGCTAAGCTTGTTATATCGAGTTGTAAAAGACATAAGCCATTATATGTTATCTAATATGATCCTTTTTGTGACTGCAGATCTAAGGTTTCACGTGGACGAGGTACTACAGATATTTCACGAGATATATGAAGCAAAAGAATGGAGAAATGGGATCCCTTCAGACCAGTTTGAGGAGATATTAAAGAGGAGGATTGGAAATATATTTCATGTAACATATACTACATGATAAAAGTTGGCACACAATGACTTTGGTCATTGTCTTGATCAAGCTTCATTTTCAAGGTACATATATGAAGAATCTTGAAATCTATTATTCTGCATTGTACTTAAGGATATTTCGTGCTAATTGGAAACTGGAAAATAAATAGTTTAGTTACCGCTGTTAGGTCTGAGCCTCTTACCTCTATGATTATATGCACTAGTTCAAGATATAGAAGTGACTTAATCAGACTAACCTATGCTTTTCCGTTGCATTTTTCAACATAGCATCCTCTGTCATTATCTTACTTTCCTATTATTCTCACCAGTTGCTATAGTTTTTTCACATTCTGGTATTTGAGCTCAGTCATCTCTCTTTGCAGGTTTTGTCTTGCGGTACAAGAGGATTTCAGATTCAGATTTTTGTAGACAGGAAGTAACATATTTACATATATGTTCTGTTTTGTTTGTGTAACATTCTTACAATTGATTTGGCGACTAGTGAAGCAAATAGCTTGCAGTTCTTTTTTTCGGTCACCCGGTGAGCTGTGACTTTATTCGTTGGTTTTTGACTTAGATCTCATTTGGCGTGTAACATTCATACATAAAACAAAATTATTTCCTTTTTTAGACCTCTACAAGATTTTGGTTCAGAGTTGTTCAGAGTCTGTAATGATGTGTGTTTTGACGATTAATTTGCATTTGGTAATGATTAAAACACAGAAAGATGATCAAGCTATTTATTGATTCAAACTTCCATACTCAAAAAATTCAACTTAAAGCCATTTCTCTTACACTGTTATCTTCACCTGAAATGGGATGTGTTATCATGACTAAAGAAGAGGACAAACGTGATTCTTACAACACAAATGCACATTTGAATAACATTTGGGACACGACCATATAATATATCATGGAGGTACAACAGGTCGGGTTGAGTTCCGGCCAAGACCAAGTCCCGAACCCGAAGTAACGCTATGACTCTATGACTTACTGCTATGGTTATGGCTGCAGTTGGAAGAATGAACATGTGCTGACTGCGATTTATGTATCGGGTTAACATCAATAGCAACGTGGCCATTGCCGTTTTGAGTATTAGAACTCCGCTGCATCTGCATCATGCTAATACCTTCTTGTCTCGGTGTTGTGTCTTCTTCATGACACTCGATATCTTCGTTATAACCTTTCACCAAGAAATCCGAGCAGTTTCTCCTGCAACCGTGATCGTACGGATTCCTGAAGCCACCCCCTGGACCTCTTAGGTAGCTGTAGCGCAGTGCGTTAGCCATTTCGTTTGTGGTTATATTCCTCGATATCTGTGAAGGAGACAGATAATCTTCAAATTGGATGAACAAAAAACATTCCATCATGAAAACAGATTAATCCTCTCTAGTCTAATTAGTGAGTTCTATGCTCCACTGTAGCTAACGTAGAGATCATTAATCGGGGGGAGAGAAGTAGACTCACCTGGGACGCTTGTATGACTGTTAAGACAGCAACTGAAAAGAAGAGGCAGAACTCCACAAGCAGAAAGGATAATGCACCCACATGATTGCTAGCGACATAGCTAATCCATGCTCCAAACGAAGATGGAGCTGAAGGATCACTCAGGACTCCTGCACGTATATATAATGCATCGTTTACATCTTTGTTTAAATTTTTTTACATATTAGGATAAGCTTTAAAGGGCGTCTTCCATTACAAACATACTTGCAAGCGTGACGCCACCAGTTATCAGCATCGCTAGTACTTCAAATAGAAGAAAAAGAAAAAACTCCCACTTGTTTTTCTGCAAGAGTAATTCGTGTTAACAAACCCAATCCACTGATCAGTATCATGCTCGAATTGCAAAATAAAGAGAAAAGGTAATGCGCCACCAAGAAACATCTCTATTCATTTCTATGCCCAAATATACTAATACAACACAGACATACCATTCAAAACATTAAAATTGTCGTAAACATCATTCAGAAAGAACAGTAACTTATGAAACATTAGTATCAAAAGCCCTATCCACTTATATTTTTCAGCAAAGTAAAATGGGGCGATGGAACCTGTACTTACTTTTCCAACACAGTTTGACACCCAAGGACAATGGTGATCAAATTGCTCTACACAACGATCACAGGTAGAACAGTGCTTAGCTCGAATAGGTCTGATAATCTGAACAAAAAGAAACAAGGTGGACGTAAGAAACAAATTTCATGATATTCATCAATGATTAGATATTTGGTGTTAATAGTTAAGAAAGACATAAAAGGGAAGTTGAGGAGGTACCTTGCATGTTGCACAGAGCTGTGTCCAATTCCCAGCAAGCAAAGCAGGGTTGTTTAGCTCTATTTTCAATAGTGGTTCCTGTACAGGGGTAAGAAAACTTGGAATGACAATTAAATAGAAAAACAGTGCTCGAGTTCATTTCTTATCATAACTATGAACAAGTTAAAGGTACCAACATCGTCTTTTATGGTCTGCGGATCATGGATATTCATTCTGATGTAACCTGGATCCTTTCTGCAGAAAACATTTATACATAAAACAATAAGAAAACCTTATTTTTGTAAAACAAGGAATTCATTAAAGAATCTATAGCTTCAGAGAAGTAAAGGCCTTATAGAAAATGAAGTAAGATAGGGTGAGCACATACTTGCTACAACGGTAAAACAAAACTAGTCCTGCTGTTGCAAGAAGGAACCCCAACCATGCAAACGAACCAATCCCAATTGTTAGCTTCGGCAGATTGGATGCTGCAGTGACCAAAGGGTTCATAAATTAGTAAGTAAGCAGGCATAGAATAGTTACTAGATATGCTGCACACAAAAGAGATTCAAGAAGGTCAAGGTAACTACCCAAAACAACGGAATTAGTATATATGAGCAGAAGTAGAAGAATCATGAACCAAAGAAATGGAGCAAGTCCCAACTTTGACAATTTTCCAAGGGGACTGCTTCCATCCCACCGCTTTTCAAGCAGCCTTCTAGCATTACCCTGCAATGAAGTGTTTAGCAGACAAATGATCAGATAGAATATTTAAAATAACTTTCTTAAAATTCCTAGCATGATGATGATCATTTTGAATAAAAAAGAACTGCAGGTCCGAAGAAGCTGACATGGTGCAGCCCCAAACATTAATTTGTTTCCAGGTATGCAAAGGACTAATGTCATGCAACATTGCCAATAGAATGATTCAACTACCATACATGGCTAGCAGTGGCAGCCACTAGGAAAATATCAAATAAACATTATAGCTAAAAATTGGTGCCTAACAAAGAAAGTGAATAGGATACCTACAAGGAAAAAAGACACTTGTCGGTGATTCTTTTCAGCGGCAAGTTGTGCGGGGGTAAGCCCGGTATTGTCAGTAATCATCAAATCCTCTTTCTTCCCAGCCTGAACCAATACAGTGCAAGCCTCCAAATTACCTCGAATGGCAGCCCAATGCAAAGGAGTGCAACCTGATAACAGAGTTATAAGAATGCAGAAAAGATGATATAAATGTTTGGTTGTCTGATCTAACAAAATAAATAAGTAGTGGATGTCAGAGGAAAATTATGTCTGCAAATAACCTTCTTTGTCCTGACGTCCTCTATATGCGTCTAAAAATAAAAGAAGGCGGATTGAATCTGCAAAACCTTTATAGGCAGCCCTGAATTTCACAAAACATGAGAAGAAAAGAAAGACAATTACAACTCTCTCCTGAATAGTTACTGAAAAATAGCGATAGAATTTGAAGGTCAACATAAGCAAGCATGAAACAATGCAGCAGAATAATGCATGCAACAGTTAAGAACTCACGATGGAATGGTGGCTACTTATTTTTCTTAAACCATCTACGATGGTTAACATTATTCAACATCCTATTTCACCATTCCAACATTACACATCATCTTTTATTTTCCACCTATTAGAACAAATAACTATAACTCATAAAAAAACTAACAAACTTTTTGTGTCCAAATCCAGTCTCTAAATGAGTATGCAAACCTAAGTAATAAGAAGTAAACATGAAAAGATGCCAAAAAACCAATAACTAAGTAACAATTACAAGAAGGCAAGCAAGTGTTCCACTTTGCGGGAACCTTACCAGTGCAAGGGGCTTCTTCCATCATTATCGGGCACATCAGGATCAGCGTTCCACTTTGAGATGACGTGGCAGAGAAAAGCAGTCTGGCCATACTGTGCTGCAACATGTGTTGGCTACAAACAGTTTGAGATGGCTATTAACACGCATCCATTAATAACTAATCAAGGGAAATTTGATAGTATCCAGCAAAGAACTTTAACGCATAAACCGAACTCTATTACGAAATTCGAGAGCAAGAAGACCTCAATTTTCCAACATCCTAAACCAATAAAGATGGCAGGAACAAGGTCTTTTTGAGATTTTCAACTGAAATTAATATCCTTATGAACATTCTAAAAGCTGATTAAATCCAGACAAATTGAAAGTTCTCTCTATTTTAGATAAAGCTTTGAATAATGGGTCATGATACTGCTCAATATCATTTGAAGAAATGAATAAACTAATTTTACAAGATCCGAGTACTTACATACAAATCCATTTATACATGCATAATGTTGATTTGACATAAGCTCATCTTCCTAAATGCGGATTTACCTACATCTACATGAACCTCAGAACACATCCATCTAACTACAAAAATACAACCCCAAATACCTAACAAGCAAAATACTATTTACATATCATGAGTCCAATCCCGAAGCAATGTGCAAAAGAGAAGTTCACTATCACTAAAACAAAACACAATCCCCCCCCATCAAGAAACAAGGAAGTAGTTATTAAACCTGATATCCATACATATCCGTAGCATCAACCCTAGCACCCTCCTGTAACAAAAGCTCCGCAACTTGCACCGCACCACGAACAGCACTCCAATGCAACGCACTCTGCCCCGTATGATCCGTCGCATTCACATCTCCCCCATGCTGTTTTTAAACAATTACAAATTTTCAAACCCCCTAATATTCATTACCACCATAAAAAAGGATTCAACTTTCTTTTTTTCAGAAACCTCGATAATGTACTGAGCAACGGCTGAGCGGTTGTTCAAAGCAGACCACTGAAGAGCATAGTAGCCGAGACCATCGGGTTCAGAAACAGAGCAGCCTTCACACTCTACCAATCTATGAAGCTTCTCCAAATCACCGTACGCCGAGGCAGTGTAGACGTCGTTCTTCAAGCTCTCGTCTTCGATCGGTTTGGGATTGGATTCGTTGTTCTCGTTTGGATTGGATTCGATTTCTTCCACAACTTCAATCTCCGACGACATTTTTGTGTTTTTCTCGAGATGGATCGTGATTCAATACGATTTTTAAGATATCATGGGGTTGACCTTTGACCTTTTTGATAATTATTATTTGTTTCCACTAATCTTAAATTAATCTTACGATTAGGGTTTTTGTGGAGAATCAGAGGAAGAAGAATGGTTGATGATGGGATGTTTGATTCGGTGTAATGAAATGAATTGGAACGGTCAGAGACAGACCCACTCGAGTAATTGCCTCAAGGGCCCTTATTTGGAAAATTTAAAGCTCAAATGTCCTCACTTTTTTCTTTTAATTTTATATGTCAAACGAAAAATCATAAAATTAAACTGAAAACGTCAATATTTTTTACTTGATTTATAGAATTTGATAAAAATATTTCAAAAATCAAAAAACTGTTTTTTCATATTTTTCCGAAAATCATCAAAATATGATTAAAAAACGATTTTAAAATATTTTTTTTTCGAATTTGAAACATATAGAATTTAGATATTTACCCATGGGTTCACTGATCCATAGGGGGGAGGTTTTTGTTTAGTTTTGATCGCTTGAGAGTGATTTATTTGGGATTTTCATTAAATAGTGGAGGGTATGAAGATTAGTGGAGGATATAAGTGATTTAAATTTTTTGAGTAAGGGCATTTGAGCCGTTGACTCGACCCACTCAGATCTCACCTCCTTCATCATCATTTTTTTAAATGTATTCAACGGAATACAAGTGGAATTTAACGAAATTGAATAATCCAAAACAGTTGCTTATTATAACATGAGTATTGTTGTTAATTTGACTTTTAATTAGATTTTTTTTTTAAACAACTAAGAGCATTGTTATTACTAGAAAAAATCAACGTAGCTTGGAGATGGCAGATGGGTTTCAACCTTCATATCAGTACATAGCCTGAATTATTGCACGAAACATGTGTTTTGCAAACTGTCGGAAGCCACCAAACTTTGCATGTTGTAAGGAGGAAGTACTAGGTCACCTGAAATGGTATGTAAAAATTGATTAAACACTGCTACATCTCTAAACTTTAGCAAGCCAGAAGTTTAAAGTGGATTGTGATGTCATCAATAAATTTACAGATGAAGATGCCTCTAATCTGACATTAGAGTGTTATAGTGAGGCGAGACCAAGTAAGATAGGAGAGTAACTCAACCATGTATGAAACAACAATTAACAAAGAAATATCAATATGTAATGCAAGATTTTGCTTGTAAGAGTATCATTATGAAGAGTAAACAAATGAAATATGATTGAACTATACAAGAGAATGTACGAGAGCAACTTGTCCTTGAGGAAATTATATCATGACAAACTCTATCACCCAACTCCAATAACAAGAAGAAAGATAGAACTATCTGAATGTGAAATAGAAACAGAAGAAGAATATAACAACTACAATATGGACCAAGCTCTCATACTTAACCACTATATGAGACCCTCCAACATCATCCAAACCAACCTTCCTGTCATCACTTCCTCTCCCTCTCACCGTCTTCATCTCTACCTCAAGTTTTAGCTTATCCATCTCCATGATGGCCATTGTTGCTCTTTTTTCAGCCATTTGAAGCCTTTTCTCTGCTTTCTTTTTCCACATCTCGAGCTCGGCTACTTTCTCATTTGCCACAAGGGCTTCTTTACAGGCGGAGTGGTACATATTCATTGTCTCCTTCAGCTCTTTCTTCAACCTTCTCTTCTCATCCTCGGCATCATCCCTTGGTGGTAGTGACGAAGGCAATGCACAGTTCTTTTCATCAGAAGGACTATTGAGATACATCGAAAGCATGGCTTTCTCATCATCCAGACTAGAGAATAATCTAGGAATCTCCAACATCGGTGGAGGAGCTCCAAGTTTCTTATAGAAGGAGAGAGCCAAACTATCTGTACTGCTCCTGCCACTAGTGTTCATACTAGAACTTTTGTCTAGTGATGGGAACTCCTCAAAGAAAACGTCGTCTTCTCTTGACAATGACATCTCAGAGGGAAGCTCGTCGCTGTTGCTGAGTGGTGACAATGGTGCAGTCCCTGAAGAAGGAGATGGCAAGGCTAGAGGTATTGGCCTAGTGGCTGAACGTACACTTGATAGTCTTCCTTTTGATATTACAAAGACAGTGCAGAAATCTGGTGCCCATCTCATTACATTACTTGGAATGTCATCAACCTTGAACAACCTTCAAATCAAGATCATCCAATTAGAAAATTTCTATATTAAAACAATTAATCAGGGACAGTCCTGAATATAGGTATATAGCCCCCAAAATTTTTGAAGAACTCTCCCAAATTAATTTTAAATTTTTTTTATTTAAATCCATATTAAATCGTCTACGACCTCCAAAATCTCAGAACCGACCCTACGGATTTAGAAATAAGTTTGTAACCTTGTAATGCTCTTCTTCAACGAGGCACCTATGAAGAATGTAGAAACAAAGTTATGGCTGATATATTCTATCAATGCTTTGGCCACATCCTGATCATCAAGCAAAACTACTTCGGTGTGTATCTGAAAATATACATATCGATGATCAGTGAGACAAAAAGACATGTTTAAAAGGTAAAGAAGACAGACCTGAAAAACTTACATTTCGTCGCATACAAAGACAACGCAAGGGAAGAAAGCGTCGTCTATCATTGTTCTCTCTTTCAGACAATTCATCATCTGTATTAGGTCCATTTGAAGATCTTTGGATGACATGAACAAGTTTTAATGTTTCTCCTTCGGGTATATGATTCTCTATAGCCCATTTAAGAGCTTGGATGCTTGTTTTATCTCTGTCCACTGCAATAGCTGTATGCCCTTCCCTTACTTCATTTCTCTCCATATTTTCTCTCAAATTCTAGAAATTTAAAGGAGAGGTGGGTTAAGAGATTTATCAAAGAACACAGAGGAATCTGAGTAAAGGCAATATAAGATTTGTGTAGACTTGAGAGATTTGTAGAGAAACAAATACTATATTAAAATAAAAATAAGAAAACTAAAACCCTTCTGCTTTAGGAGGAGAACCGTGTCTTGCTAAAAATAGAACTGTTACTATCAACAAATGTTAATGCATGGACAAAACTAACTAACTCCAGGCTACCTGGAAATTGTTAATTAACAAATAACTACCAGAAGTAAGTTTCCAAACAGCATCCTGAAACGAATTATTTAAGAACGGTTGCAAATTTACATTAGCCGCTCCCCGAATACACATATCTGTTTGATCCTGACATTGAATATCACAATGGTCGTTCTCAGCGGTTCCTTTTAAAAACCATATGGTCGCTTCACTGATGTGACAATGGATCAGTTAGGACAAGAGAAGAATCTTCCAGGTCCATGCAAAGTATCCCTCGTTAACTGCCTATCAAATGTATGTATCAACTACACAGCCTAATGTCACAAGATAGATCAGATCATGAATGTTAAAAGGTGGTATGGTGAGGGAGAGAAATACGTATCAGGCATTCTTCATAATTTCAATAAAAGATACTAGTTAATACCATCTAATAAAACACCAAGACCACCTTCGTTGAATGATCATGATTCTCTATTTCTCAAGCTACTAGCCATAAAGCAAAAGGTCAATCTGTCCTAAAGTACCAAAGACTTAAATCTTAATTCACTACTATTTCATCAATAAATAGAGATTGACATGTCTATCAATAACATGATATGGTCGGCCCGGACAAATAAAAGTCTTCTCCGAAAAATCAACTCGTCTAACCAACACTTAATCTAGTTGAAATGGACAGCCGATACACAAAAAATCAATAACATGATATAGCAGGTGGATACGACTGGAAACAACTCACAAATGTATCACTAGAGAGCTGGTAGAATTTTCTCTCGAGTAACATACGTAAACCAACCTTTCTAGAAGAAAAAAAACAGAGTAAATCCACTTTCACCAAAGCACAACGATGATTCAAAGTCCTATGGATATGGGCTCAATTAATTAGAAATTTAAGTACTATATATAATGGGCCCAATTAATTGGATGGGCCAATAAAAAGCCTTATAAAGTAGGGTACGTGATAACTAGGGTTTTATACACTCCTTAGTCCCCCCTTTTAAAAGCTCTCTTAAAAGCTCTTCTCTCCTTCGTTCTCCAAACTCGTAACCGGCGCAGCTGAGAACTTCCATCTCGCGGAAGAGGCAACATCCATGGGTACGATAATCTTCTTCGCGATTGCTCTATTCATATCGATGATCTCTTCACTTCTCTTCTGTGGTTACAGTATTCCATTTCGTGATAGCTAGAATCTGATTATCGAACATGTTGTTTGTTTGTTAGGTATCTCTCGTGACTCCATCCACAAGAGGCGTGCCACTGGAGGCAAGCAGAAGCAATGGAGGAAGAAGCGAAAGTAAGCTTTCGTTTTCATATCTTCAGATCTATATCGAAAATGTTATCACTACTGCTCTGTATTCAATCGATTAAGATAACTGAACGTTTTAGCTTAAGCTTATGCGATGTTGTGATCTGTTAATCCATTGATTATTGAACGTTGAAACTCTTAGAACTTGTGATTAGGGAACTATAGTCATAGTACGAAACATTATTATTGGCTCTGATCTATTAATCCGTTGATTACTGAACGTTTAAACTATTAAATCTCTTAGAACTTGTGATTACTAATATCATGAACACTAGTGTGGTTGTAGCTAGTGCCTTGTTTGATTTTATTAATGTTCTATATTGTTTGTAACGGTTATGGTGCGGTTATTTATATTTTTATTTAAAACCCTTTTGTTTTTTTGTTAGGTACGAGATGGGAAGGCAGCCAGCTAACACCAAGTTGTCAAGCAACAAGACGGTGAGAAGAATCAGAGTCCGTGGAGGTAACGTCAAGTGGCGTGCGTTGAGGCTCGATACCGGTAACTACTCCTGGGGAAGTGAGTCTGTTACTCGCAAGACTAGGGTTCTTGACGTTGTCTACAATGCTTCCAACAACGAGCTTGTCCGTACCAAGACTCTTGTGAAGAGTGCTATTGTTCAGGTTGATGCTGCTCCTTTCAAGCAGTGGTACTTGCAGCATTATGGAGTTGAGGTTGGTCGCAAGAAGAAGAGTGCTGCTGCTTCTGCTGCCGCCAAGAAGGACGGAGAGGTAACGATTCGCTTCTGTAACTTGTTTGGTGGTTGAATCTGTTGAGTAGAATGAAAGGTTATGATCGATACTTTTAAATATTATAGGAAGGTGAAGAAGCTGCAGCAGCTGCTGCTGCTCCTGAGGAGACCAAGAAGAGTAACCATGTCTTGAGGAAGATCGAGAGCCGTCAAGAGGGTCGCAGTCTTGATTCCCACATTGAGGACCAGTTTGCCAGTGGTCGTTTGTTGGCTTGCATCTCATCAAGGCCTGGCCAGTGCGGACGTGCCGATGGGTAATCATTTCGTTCTCCTTGATTTATTTTTGTCATTGTTGGAAATCTTATTAGTTCGTTGTATCTAACTTGTTATTGGTGGTTGTGCAGATACATTCTTGAAGGCAAAGAGTTAGAGTTCTACCAGAAGAAGATCCAGAAGAAGAAGGGAAAGGGTGCTGCTTAAGAGCTTCACTTCTTTACTTTAATCTTTTTTGGTTCATCTTTAAACAATGTTTTGAGTTTCAATTTCTACTACTGTCTGAGAGAACCTATGTTTTTGGATTAGTTTGCTATTATATTTCATAAATTCCCTCAGTTAATTATGGCACAATATCTTTGTCTCAGATTTTTTTCGTTTAATTTTAAATCTCTCATTAATTTGTCACTGGTTTTGACCTAATACCTGATTTTATCCTTTCGGTTAGTACTTTAAACCTGTTTTTTCCTTTTTAGTTCGTATCTTACAACTAATACATTGCATTAGTTTCTAACGACTATAGAATAAGACAGAGTTCGCACAAAAGAAAAGGACAGCTTGCAAAACAAGTAACCGGAGTTATTCACGCACTGACGTAATCTCCTTAGCGAGCAAAAACGTGGTTCACGCATCCGTTGATTCAGATGTTCGTGATTCCTCGAAGAAACTAGAGTTTCTCAAAATGTGGAATTCCAAAACCATAGCCAACACACATCCCCAATCAACAATGATGGTTGGTACGAAATGTAAACTATTTTTTTTTTCTTAGACCACATGGTTTGGTTTGTTTCTTTGTTTCAGGAAATACCGAACTCTCCTTATGGTTGTCTTTTTTGACACCCACTTTGATCTACTTAACTTGTGAAAGCTTTTTTCTTATATTAGTTAGGCCAACACATAGCAGTTATCCTAGATTATGGGTTGCTAAAGATGCTGAGAAGAGCTAGTAGCCTTTGAAAGCTAATGTAATTTTCTTCTCAAATATATTTAGCAAAGACATGCTATATTAGTTAGTATCTTATTACTTATTTTCCAATAAATCAAGAAACCTAATTTGGTTCTGATTGGGTGTTTCGGGAGTTATCCCCTTTGGAAAACTTGGAAGGCCGATTAGCCTTTCCTTGTTACTGTTTTCCCAAAAAGGCTTTAGCACAAACAAATCTTAAAACCAAAAGCAGTAACCATGTCAGTATCTAACAATTTTCGTAACTTTCTCAGCAGCGGTCGGGTGGTATGAGGACGGGACTGAAATGAAACTGAGTCACATTATTTCTACACTTACATGGATATGAATTTATATTTTTGAGTTTATTTACATATTTGAAGAGATAATTTATACGTGGACTACATTTATTCTTGGGGATTTATAGGCGCAATATGAATAAATTACATGTTAGATGTTTACAATTCTTTGTGAATTTTTTTTTTCATCTAGTTATAACAATGATTGAGTTGTTTTCCAAATAAATTATATTGATGATTAACTTTACTAATTTCTTTTTATGCATCTAACTGATTAACTCTCGCCTCTCGGTTCACTATTTATGCAGGCATTTACAAGGTGATCCGTTCTAGTGGCAACTAGCTGAAGATGACACCAAGAACCTTTTGTAACAACTATTATTAGCAAATGTAAAATCGTTTATGCAACAACTTCCATCTACTATATTTTCATTAGATTTTTTTTTTAAAAAAAGCAAGATGTGAAATACTGCAATGAATGTTTCCCTCATCATTATTCTTTTGTCAACTACTTGATCAAAAGTAGTTTCACATAATCTATCCTCATTCCTCAGTCAATTATAAACCTACAATTTATTTTAATATCAAACTTTATACTTTGGATGTTATTTCTCCATACTTGAAGAAAACTGCATACGTTCTAATATACTCAATATTTAAAGTCAAGTAAACAACAAATCTTAAGCAAATTTTAATTCACAGAGAATTTGTTGTTGAATAAAAGTTATAAAACCAACCAAAAGAGTACTATTTTAATTATTTACCTTGTTTCTTTGTAAAACCCCAAAACGATCAGGACCATCCGGTGGGTACAAGGCAATTATTACTCATGTCTATAAAAAGCACAAACCGGTGGTAAAATCTGAGTCGGTCGGTCTTAAAATCTCATAGATTTACTCTGTTCGTACTCAAAAGATTTCGAGTATCTAGAAAACATTGTAGTGTAAAAAAAAAATCACTCTTCGTATAAAATTAATAAAAAAATGAAAAAAAAGGAGAAACAAAGTAAGAAGAATTTATTGATAACCTAACTAACAACCAAAAGATGAAAACACGATACCAACTTCTACCTACATTCTAAAGTTTCTTTAAATGTTGTAGCTGTCTCCTTTGCATTTCCCATCTTCTCTCCTTATTTCTCTCCCCCAACTCCTAAAACTTTAATTCACATTCTAATAAATTAATCGTTTTCATTTGTATATTTTCCTTTCATCTCATATCTTCTCTCACCTTCTTTTCTTTTCCATTGATCTTTGGATCAAAAACCAAGTACTTTTGTCTTACATATTGCTCCTATGGACCGAGATGGTCCGAAGGATGAACCAGAAACGGTGTCGTGCGGCAACAGCGGTTGCAAAATAGTTCCTGGAGATGGAAGCAGCGGTCCGAAAAAAAGGAAATCGCAGAAGAGAAGAAAACGACGAGAACTGATGTCGTATAGTGAGCTTCCAGAGTACATGAAGGATAACGAATTTATATTGAATTATTACAGAGCTGAATGGTCCATTAGAGATGCTCTCTTCAGCGTCTTCAGTTTTCACAATGAGTCCCTCAACGTTTGGACGTTAGTAATTTTTACTTTATGTTAAAGTTCTAATTTCAGTTTCTATCATATTTATTTGGTTCTGATGAAACAATTTTCTTTGGTTTGACAGACATTTACTTGGTTTCATTTTATTTGTGGGACTAACGGTTGCCAACATTATTCATCACGACAAATTCTTCCCCGTGGTACGTCTCCTTTAACTGATATAATCTTTTTGTGTATAACCAGATGTTCATACTGAATCTCTGTTTAGTCTCTCGAGATCCACATGCAACCACTATATAAATTATTTTGAATCATTCAAGTGGGATGTATCTTATAAAAATAGATATACCTACTTGGTTTTGAGTCTTGACTAACATTTGACATAAAGAAAAAAGGAAATTGGGTGAAATAACCAAAAAAAAAACCAAAATTTATTATCTAACTAAAAATACCCCCTCTCTCTTCATTCCCCTTCCTATCTCTCTCTTCCCCTCTCTCTAAAAAACTTAATAATTTTTTTTTTTTTGGTTATTGAGCAAAAAAGCCCGAGAAAAAAACATTTAACATATCTTTATTTTCTAATGAACTAGTCATATTGATGTCGGTTTTGCTGTGATGATTATGAAAGGATATATTAGTTATCTTTATTTTCTAATGAACTAATCATTGATGTCGGTTTTGCTGTGATGATTATGAAAGGATATATTAGTTGTGATTTCACTGAGATATGAAAAATCAGTGTGAATCTAAAAGATGAGTTACCTATCTTTGAAAAAATATTACAGCTACAGTTTAATACTTATATATATAGATATTTATTCTGTTTCAAGCAAAGTCAACAAAAGTGGCTGCTAGAATAGAAATAAACTCAATATTAAAATATTGAAAGAATGTTGACAAAAAAAAAAAAAAATATTGAAAGAATATTTGAAAGCAACCGAGATGTGAAGAGAACATAAACTATAGTATAACTTATATTTAAATTGTTTGTTTCCTATAAACAGTTTTAATTGTTCCTAAAGCTCTAAATAAAAATGTTATTCTTAAAACTTATGATTAGTATTATCAATGTTTATGATTGTATAGGATGCAAAGAGTCCAGGGAATGTAACAAGATGGCCATTTTTCGTCTTCTTAGGAGGCTCAATGTTCTGCCTACTCTCAAGCAGTATTTGCCACCTCTTCTGCTGCCACTCGAAAGACTTAAACGTCTTCCTCCTCCGCATAGACTATGCCGGCATCACCGCCATGATCATCACTTCTTTCTTCCCACCAATCTACTACATCTTCCAATGCACTCCTCGTTGGTACTTCATCTACCTCGCAGGCATTACCTCTATGGGAATCTTCACCATCATCACACTCTTCACTCCATCACTTTCCTCTCCTAAGTACCGAGGTTTTCGCGCTTTGCTGTTTGCCTCCATGGGGCTCTTCGGGATCGTGCCAGCTGTCCACGCGCTAGTGGTCAACTGGGGAAACCCGCAAAGGAACGTGACGTTAGTGTACGAGCTTGGGATGGCAGTGTTCTATCTAGTTGGGACAGGGTTCTATGTAGGGAGAGTGCCTGAGAGGCTTAAACCTGGATGGTTTGATCGTGTGGGACATAGTCATCAGATTTTTCATGTGTTTGTTTTGTTGGGTGCTTTGTCTCACTATGCAGCTGCTCTTTTGTTCTTGGACTGGCGTGACCATGTTGGTTGTTAAACCATGATGTATTTTGTAATTCTTTTGAAGATTATTTAAAAATTATTAGTGTGTTTTTATCAGGCGAAAAGAAATAGTAATAACCCATTCGTTGTTAAAATTTGAATAATTGAATTTTTCAGAGCATGTGCTAGTCTGAATCGATAAGAGGACAGCAAGTTTTTGTTTTTTGAACTTTCAGAGGACAGTAAATTTTGATACAGAGTTTATCTGCTTTGCTGTAAACATATGTTTTACTATGTTATACAGTATCAGTTGTAATGCTCTAGACTCTAGTAGCGGCTGACTGATGAGGTGAAAACAAAAGACCAAAGCTTGACTCTGGAAATTTGTGGACCTAAACCCCGGGCGTGCCTACTAGGGGTGGGCACGGATCGGATATCCGGATTTTTGAAGGTATTTGTGATTTGCTTCGTATGTTACGGATATCTGATTTTGGTATTTGCTTTGCTTCGGAAAAATACGGATATCCGGAAAAACGGATATCCGGAAAATAAACAGATATTTGCGGATATTTACGAATACTTACGAATATCTCATCCGTTACAAATAATCTTATATAAATTTATCTTGTAAATTTTTTTTACATGATATATAAAATAAAAAATAAAGAAGTAATGAATTTACATATTTTATAATTTTATATGTTTAAGTTAACAACTATAATAACACAAAACTTAAGATTTTTTTATAAATTTTTCTCTTCTTTTTATCTAATAATTTTATATAAGTAATAATGTGAATCTAATTAGTTAAATCATAAGCTATAATAATAATTTTATACATTTAAAATTTTAAATATAATCAAAATATACATATATTTATATATTTCCGGATCGGATCGGATCGGATATCCGCTTCCCAAAATTTTAATATTTGTGATTTGCTTCGCTTTTAACGGATATTGATTTTTAGTATTTGCTTTGATTCAAAAGTTTACGGATATCCGGAATTTTCGAATCGAATCGAGACGAATAACGAATCGAATCAAATTTAACGAATAAAATGCCCAGCCCTAGTGCCTACCCTTTTAGTTTTGACGTTTGGCACTGACCTTAGCCCCCTCTCATATCAGTAAATTTTGGGGCTCGACATTTATAGATTATCACATAAGCCAATTGATAATATAGCCCCTAGGAAAAAAATACTAAGATCATCTTCGTCAGTGAACCATTCTTGGGATTCATGTTTTTAAATTTTTTTTTTACTGTTTGATTTAAAAAATAATAATAATAATCGAATCAATGGATAGCCGACACATGTCATAAACAGTGTTGAACTCTTTGGATAAAGGTTCACCGAAAAAACCTCGAAAAAGATGGGGTTCAATACTATTCATTATTTTAATTTTTTTTTTTGGAAATCTGTGTGAACCTTTCATGGGGTTCATTGATGCAGATGTTTTACGACTTAAAATATTTTTTTGGGAATAAAATTATATAGAATAGCTCATTCCATGAGATTTCATAAAATATTTACCCTTTGTTGTGAATTACTTTTTAACAACAACACCTATTTTGTTTTTGGAAGGAAACAAAAGTAAATCATTTTTTAAAAATCTATTCAATTTATTCAAGAATCTAAACTTTCTTGAATGACTGAAATGTGTGGAGTTCACTATTCCATTAATAATTAATTCCCTTTTATCAATCATTCCATTTTTTCTGTTATAATCATTCATAATATTTCTTATAGGAATAATCCTTCACACCCTAAAGGCTTAAACCTTCTTTTAAAAACCAAATCTCTCTATATTCTTATTTGTCGCTATGGATTTAAACTTCTGTCTTTTACTAATGGTAAAAGATTTCTATGTATAACTTAGGTTTATAAATAACTAAAAAAAACTAAAAGTACTAATTTTTCCAATACAATTTTTTCTATTTTTCCATTAAAAACCTAAAAATTTAAAATAACAAATGCCAATTGTCTATTTTTCAAATTATATTAAAATATCAGTATAACACTAATATTCTTTTTAGTTTTTACTACTTTCCCTATTATTTAAAATCAAATGATTGCCTTAATATTCACGGCACTGCGTAAACCCTTTTCAGATTCCGGAAGCCACATGCCTTGGTGATCTTGCCGCGAGACTTGGTGCATGCAAATCATTGACAATGCACACTTAATTTTGGCTCAATTAACGTTAAATTTTATGTCGGTTTAGAACCGATGCTAAACCAATGCAAATTCAAATATCCTGCCTCTAACCGGTTATAGCAGACTAATTAGCAGTATGTAGATAACCAGTTTGATAGCTGTTAATGGTATTAAACAATGCGAAACGCGGATTTTTTTGAAATTGAAACATTAAATATCAGATGCGGGTAAGCATTTTCCAAAGCAATAAATACAAATTTAATGTTATTAGCCTCTCAATAACTCTATTAGTTTCTTCTCAAATAAAAAACAACTCTATTAGTTTTCGGTATCCTTTCTAATATATTTTTTTCATTTCTATTTTTACATTAAATTGTTTTGGTTTGTTACTCTATTGGATTCTCTCATTTTAATAACATCTAAAGAGTTAATTCTAAATGATATTATATTTTAAAATTATTTTCTTCCTCTAATACATAAATATATGCCCCAAATGTGCATCATCTCATCCCAAGAAACTAGTAATAGTAAGAGCATCATTATTGCTATATACAAATCTAAGTCCCTTAGCTTATTATATTAATTAATGTTACTTAAGAGACAACTGTAAGAGACGTTATACGAAATGGAGATTATAGCTGGAACTTATACTGTGTCTCTTAGCAAAAAAATTTAATATTATTATAGGTTGATTTGCTGTGGCTCTAATGCCTGAAAGCACGAGAGAGAGATCAGATCATCGATGACTGAAGGATCGCTGACCAGAGCCACCGCGGGTGACGTCGTGGTGGATAGCAGAGCAACCGAGAGGGAGAGAACCGTTTCGCTTGGAGAGGAATCGACAGATAGATAAGCCGAAATGGTTGAAACACCAAACCTCTCCTCTACCCACACAGTTTTCAACAAACTCTGCTTCGGATCATCCAAAACGGAACCGATTGAAAAGAGATAGAAGAAGAAGAAAGAACACGAGACGGAGAAAACAAAGATGAAGAAAAAAAAAAGAAAAAAGGAAAAACATATATTATTGAGGTTTATCCAGACGCCGACACATGGCTTCTTTCTTTGGCTAAAGACGAGTCCATTTGTCCCTTAATTAAGGTACGTTTGCTTTGTTTCTTAATCTTTTTGATTTAAATTCGACCCAATAAAAGGAAGAAATGGGCTAAAAGACAGGCGATAATGTTGCTCTAAAGCAAACAAAATGATACAATCAAATTTCGTTTCTATGAAATTCTCTCTAGCTACTGCTACTCTTCTTCTGATCATTCTCCTCTTTTATCAACATCACTCTTCCCCAAACCTAAACGCGATCACTCTCTCATCTTTTTCCCATGCTACATCTCTTGCACCGTCTCCTTCACCGTCCATGTCCATGGAGTTTAGCATTCCTTCATCAAACGTCACATTAACTTCGAGTGCTCAAAAGGTTTGATATCAGTTTTCTAACTAATCCAAATGATTTTATTCAGTTATTCTTGTTGAACTACGTACTTATTTTATGATAAAAGAAACAAAAGAAGAGGAATATAAAGGAGGAAGGTTTAGCTAAATCAAGAGCGGCAATACTTGAAGCCATGAGGTTGAAGAAGTATGCATCTGTGGAGGAAGAATCTTTTGTTCCTCGTGGAACCGTTTACAGAAACGCTTATGCATTTCATCAGTAAATTTCTTTTCCTTCTCTCCCTGTTACTTTTTTTCTTTCTTTTCTCTTTTTTTAAACTAGTATATAATTAATTAGAGCTGACCAGTAAACTATATAGTCAAAATAATTAAGTACTATTGACCGAAAATAAATTCGAATTGGAGGTTTTTCGACGAAAATAGCCAATGGGTCTAACTTTAAGCTAAAGATATGACATTTGCTACGTTATCAGTTTCGGTTTAACATAACTGTCGTTTTACTAGTTTCTTATAAATTCCTAGGTGTATTCGTAAGTGTACAATAGGAGTATCAATTATCATTTAATTAGTGACCCTTTAATCTCTCCATAGTTCTTTCTCATTTGGATTTTCACTAAAAATGACTTTTCATACGCATTACATACACTTTATAAAGTCTTATGATGAACTATTCAAATGCTATAAATATGTATGTATTTAGCTCTTCGGATATATTTTAATAGTGGAAATTTGTACAAATTCGATTTTCTTGGTTTACTAATTCGTTTGCTTTGGGAAACGAAGCGATTGGGTCTAGTTTTAATTCTTCCTCGTTTTAGATCTCTTCATCTCGTTAAACTGGAGACCGATCTACCTAAATACTAGTACTAATTAATGCTAATGCAGTGGAGTATTAGTATATACTCTTTCTTTTGATAGTAAATAGTTTGTTTTTTTTTATATTAGCACGCACGTAAATGAAGGCATATACACAATGTAAACTAAAGAAATCAAATAGGAAAGTTGAACTATTGCATTTAAATAGTTTTTCGAATTATTTACAGAAACTCTATAAACACTACAAAAACATCGGAAATTAATGCAAACTTCATTCAGTTTATTGATAAATGTAAATTTATAGACTAAATGGTTATTCTTATAATATGATAGTATGATTGTACGTACTTTATTGTGTAGTATAGAGTCAACTTAGCAACGAAAATACCACTATTTTCACGAAACGTAGCGCACACTTAAAGCTTTGCTTTGGTATTTGTAGTCTCACATGTCTCGGTTACCTTCGAATTGCAACTTAAGTAGTACTTTTCACTGACTTTTAAATCAGGTTTCTGTGCACGTTGCCAAATAGAATATATTGTTCACATTTTATTATCTTAAACAACGTAGAATTCATTACTTAAGTACATGAGAATTTTGATCGAGTGCAAATTTCAAATACTACCAATTGAGAACCCAAATAAATACTTAAGAATAAAATTATACTACTATTTCCTATGAACTAACTCAACTCAAGCCAACTAACACTTTCTTTATGGAACTGTTCAGAAGCCATATAGAGATGCAAAAGAGATTCAAAGTGTGGGTGTATAGAGAAGGAGAGACACCGTTAGTACACATGGGTCCAATGAACAACATATACAGCATCGAAGGCCAATTCGTGGACGAGATGGAGAGAGGGATGAGCCCATTCGCGGCTAGCCACCCTGACGAGGCTCACACTTTCCTCCTCCCGATTAGCGTCGCCAATGTTGTTGAGTACCTATACCACCCGCTCGTTACATACTCGAGAGAACAACTTCATAAAGTGTTTCTTGACTACGTCAGTGTCGTGGCTCACAAGTATCCTTATTGGAATAGAAGCCTCGGAGCCGACCATTTCTTTGTCTCTTGCCATGATTGGGTTCGTTTTCTTCATAAAGTTTTTTTTCCCATTGTTAAAAACTGATCTATTTTTCTCAAAATTTTATATTTATCGTAAAGTTAAATATATAAATATATATATTTAATTACTACCTTTATTTTTACAGTATCATATTAAATAATTTTAGAGACACTTGTAGAAATTGGGTTTTCTTTTGAGAAAACTTATAATAATTTGTTTTTATTTTAGAAAACTTATACTCTCTCCGTTTCACTTTAATTGTCATTTTAGATTTTTACACACAGATTATGAAAACATTTAATTTTACATATTTTTAAAATAAAAATACAATTACCTATACACCTAAGTTTCTAACCATATTTCAACTAATAAAAAATAAAAAATATATAAATTTAATTAATTATGCATCGAAATTATAAAACAATACTTATTTTGAAACAAACAAGTTTTTTACAAAGACATTTAAATTGAAACTGAGGGAGTACTAATTATTGCTGCAGACTTTTTTTTGTTATTAAAAAAACTGCTTTCATCCTCTCTGTAATAATAGTTTATACTTCTGTAGTTATCGTGTCTTACACGCAACATTATAAGCGTCTTGCAGGCACCAGAAGTGTCGGGATCGAACCCGGAGCTGCTCAAAAACATGATAAGAGTTCTCTGCAACGCCAACACCTCAGAAGGTTTCATGCCCCAAAGAGATGTCTCAATCCCGGAGATCAACATTCCCGTGGGCCAACTAGGCCCACCTAGGTTTTCCAATTCTTCTGGCCATGACAGACCCATCCTTGCTTTCTTTGCAGGCCGCGTACACGGCCATATCCGCAAGATTCTACTGCAGCATTGGAAAGACAAAGACGACGAGGTCCAAGTCCATGAGTACTTAGCAACGAAGGAAGATTACTTCAACCTCATGGCCAAGACAAGGTTCTGTCTCTGTCCTAGTGGATTCGAAGTGGCTAGCCCTCGAGTTGTAGCAGCCATTAACTTAGGTTGTGTCCCTGTCATCATCTCTGATCACTACGCCTTGCCCTTCTCAGACGTTCTTGATTGGAGTAAGTTCACTATTCATGTCCCCTCTGAGAAGATCCCAGAGATCAAAACGATACTAAAGAATGTGTCGTTGAGACGCTACAAGGTGTTGCAGAGAAGGGTTTTGCAGGTCCAGAGACATTTTGTTATCAATAGACCGTCCCAACCGTTTGATATGCTTCGAATGATTCTTCACTCCGTTTGGTTGAGAAGGCTAAACATGAGGGTGCATGTGTGATTGATTCTCCACCACTCTCTGTTTTAAAAAGATTCTTTAGGGAATAAATATATTGGTATACGACACAAACGTGAACAGAACAGTTTACATGTAATAATATTACATTTAAAATATAGTTTGAGACTTTTTCGGTTTAATACATTGTTTTTGATCACTCTTAAAAGCTAAGAATTTATAGTCTCTCAAGGCATCTTTTCCTAAACCATAATTACATTATATACTTATGACTTATTAGATAATGGTCCTTAACAAATAATAGTATAGATGTGATCCAAAAATCTTCTAGCACCGAGGCCAATCATAACTTTTCAAAAAAAAACTCCCGAATCATGTATTACTTGGCAAGGAATAATTAGTTTTCAAACACATGCAATAATTAAAATAGTTTCAAAAGTTTAGTTTGGCATACAACACAACCAAATACATAGAGGTTTTATAAGCGAACACCACACATAAGCTAAATAAAAGTCTGATAGAGACACACACATTCATAAAGACAAAGGGCCACTAAATAGATAGTAGATTGGAAAAGAGATTGCAAATCCCTAATGATCAATCTATGACCAACGACATAATCTTTTCCTGAAGATTTGGCTGAATCGGCTGGACTCTGTACCCAAATTGTCCATCATGATCCCTCATCATCATTCCTCTTGCATTGCTAGCTATAGCCATCTCCTGTTGTTGCTGCATATATCAAACCCACCAAACATACTAATATATAGTTTCAAACCAAATCAATAAAGCTAAAGGCTTCAAGGATGTATGACTATTCTTATGTACCAGCTGGAAACTGAGTTGCCGATTCTCCTCCGCCAACATTTTTTCCTGCCACAGAAAATGTTTGATGTGACTGTAAGCACTAATTAATAATCAATCTGAAGGCTAAATAGTAAGGTATAGAAAATTGGTTAAATGGTCACATTTCTCCTTTTCGTCATGAGATACTCCATCTGAGACAAACAGACCATATAAGAGTTAATGAATATGAATGTATGAAGAGATGTATGAATGAATGTATAGATATATTCATACCTGGTGGTCTCGGACTTTGTCAAGGCCATGTTCAATGGCATGCTCTACCGCCATCAGGTTTTTTAAGTTGAGAGACTGTATATCTTCCCCCTTCAAGTGCCTGTATATATTCACGATTTATATACATTTTTTCATTTATATTGATCTTTAACATCTTTGACCAAGCGTTTTATGTATACTAGTGTAAAGATATGGCCAAGGGTGAAGATTGACCTGAGCTCAAGTTGCAAGTTATCATTCTCTTTCTTGATCCTGTCAATCTCATTGCTGAGGTTCTGGAGACCAAAATTATTTGGATGTGTAATAGATGAGCAAAAATGGTTTTTAAGAATTTCGATCAAACTAAAAATTCACTTGTCTATATACATTAGAGATAAAATATGACTGGATAAGAAACTGGAGACTCAGATCTGTTTATGCATGACAATCTCTATATGTTCATGATTCACGCAGATATGTACATATATATATATTCACGCTTTATGTAAAAAGTATATATATGCAGTAACACATACATACACAGATATTACTAGACAGTCACTTAAATGGCATACAACTCTATAAAGCTTATTACTGTATAGAGATCTATCTCATTTGTGAGAACTAAACCTATCATTGTCAGAACTACTTAATAAATGTAGCATTTTGACTAAAACCTGTTTTAAGAAGTTTATTCAACAGTAATTCCCAGTTTTTAATTAGTTTTGAAAATCACAAAAGTAAATTTGGTAAACTGTTCAGACATTCTCACCATTAATATCACATCCCATATTTCTTTCTCAATAATCATGAACCTAATACGGAAATTACATAATGGATCTAAGTCACTTAAGAGTTTGTCTTGTTGGTATCAAAATACAGTTGGTGAAGCAATATGTTTAGATATACTCTAGAATATATTCATCAAGATCTATAAAACTAACCAGGAAAAAAAAAAGGAAAAAAAATGGAAAGAAAAGAATAACTTCCATGTTTTGTGGCTCAATATCTTGTTAAGTACAAGAGAATCAATAAAGAGGCCTGGAAGGCTTAACACACAAAAGAAACTTTGTAGATCTACATCTAGGGTTCATGGTTTATCTTTTTGACATATTTTAGGAAAATAAAAATAAATAATCGATTCCATGTTATTTAGCATAGAATATTTGTTTTTGTGACAAAACACTAGAGTAGATCTACATCTAGGGTTGAAGATTCAAGGCTTCTTACACCATTTCACGGTTTTGGTCATAGAATATTTGTTTGATCACAAAGAAACTTAAGATTATATTAAAGTACCTCATGCTTAGCATCCCATAGTTTCTTGCCAGATAACTTCTGGTATTGGTCCAACATAGCACCAAGATCCATGGAAGGACAACAATAATCAGTCATCTTACCATTACTTGCAAATACTATGAGAGCAACTTTCGCATCGCAAAGAACCGTGATCTCTTTGGCCTTCTTCACCAACCCATTCCTCCTCTTTGAGAACGTCACAACTCTGTTGTTTGCGTTCTCTATCCTCTTTATCTCTATCTTCCCTCTACCCATTTTTCTCTCTCTAAATCTCTTCTCAGTTTTAGGGTTTGCTATCAATTAATTGTTCAGATATGGAGAAGAGGATATGTGGTTTATATGAGAAGAATAGGAGGAGCATTGGTCTCAAAGGAACATTGATGAGAGAGAGAGAAAGTGTCTTTGATTAATGTGTAGGAGAAGAGAGACCTTCGACAGTTTGGGATGGAAAACAAAGCTACTTTCTTGATGCCACAGTCGTGGCATGCTTGCTTTTTGTGGTTCTCTTATTTCACTTAGTCATATAGCCAACTCTATTTTCTCTCCTTTTTACACTACCGAAAAGAAAAGAAATAAAAACTTTGAAGTAACGTATAGAACAAATTAAATAAAGTTCAAACAAATCAATTTTCTAAGCACTCTTTCCCTGTGATTGATGTTTATTGATTTCATTTGATTTGATCATCTCTGTCTATCTCACTTGCTTCATATAATGTGTCGTTTTAACCTCTGGTCTTTTCCTTAGTATGTTTCTTGGCTGGACTGTAGATTGAGACTAGTTTGAAACTGAAACAAAAAGGAAAAAAAAGTTATCTTCAAAGAATAATTTTCATATTTATGAATCATTTTTGCAACTAAATATCTATATATGTCTATCTATCTTAAATAGAAGAAGCATAATTTCTATTGTAACTTTGTAGATTTAAACCATAACCTGTGTCGAAATTACGACTACTACTTTTTTTTACAGGTTCTTACTTTGGCAATTCCAAGACTTGCTATTTCGAGAACTCTATGTCATATATAGGTCTTATCGAATATCGTAGCTACCCCATATTAATCAAACTTTTGAAAATTATTAAAAATGAAGATAATATGTTGACAAAGAAGTGAGTGAAATAAATATAGTTTAGTTAAATCTAGATTGATATGAAAGAAAGACACAAAAGGAAAGAAGCACTGAAATTACCAAGGACTTTGGTATAGCCATTGGGATTTTAGGAGTTATCATGCTAAAATTAGTAAGGGAGAAATGTAACTGGTTGTGGAAAACAAAACAAGTCTATGGTTTTCTGATTCACTTCAACAGGCCACGTGTCGAAGTCTCCTTGGAAGTTTGTGGTCTTTTGTAGTACAACTTGTGTGGTAGAGACCGTTTATGTGGCGCTGACCAAAGTATCAAACAAAAATTAATCACTGTATGAAGCTCGTTTACTTGGACATGTTCTTACACTATGTCCCCTTTTCCTTGCATAACCCACAAGCGTATGCTCTCTCACCAGCACCATCTTCATCGCCACACTCACTGGGTTTCACTCTGGCCAGCTTCCAGCATGTTCTACTATATATTGTGACCACTCTCACCGCATATTCCACATCGATGATACCTAGTGGAAATGCCTTCAGTGATCATTGGTTTCGACTAAAACAGGCTCTTCGGTTATGGCCTTTCCCTCCACAAACCCTGCATTTAAATTATTTGTCTGCACTGGTGACCAGCTCTGTACAATAATGGCGTCTATGACCTTCCTGTCCGCAATTCTTGCAGTTCGTTGATAACACTATATATATGCTTACCATACGTTCTTGTCTGGGACATAGATAGATAGGTTACTTGATACCCCTGCTTCATAGTGGAGCCCAGTGACGGTATTATTCAACGAAAAGTTTTGCAAAATGTTAACAAGACCTAGATGAGTCAATATCATGAATATTTAACGAAAATAACTCCAGCAAAGTCGAGATAAAGGTGTTCAATACACAATCTTCAAAACCAATAGAAAAAAAAGAAGGAATTACAAAAAAAACGCCCTATTAAAGACTTTTCATAAGCTTAAGATCCTCTACATAATCTTGAAAGACATAAACTGGACGGTGACCGTTCAACTCTCGCAACCCTTGTATTTCGCTTCTTGCCAAAGTCTTCTTCTCAACATTGTAGTAAAAGACATAAAAAGGGTCCGAGAGCTTGCGTGGCGACAAGACAATATCACACGTACGAGTCATTCCAACAATTTGAAATTTACCAGTACATGGATGTTTCCAAAAAATAGGCAGTTCATAGATATTTATAGACCATTTATTTATCATCCCAGCAGCACCATCTTCTAGCAACCACAAGCGGATACTTCGTACATTGTAATCTGTAAACTGAACCACACCTAATCTACCTTTGTAGTTTATAAAAGTAGAACCTCTTCCCATGCTTTCACCATAATCTATATTGATAAAGTTGAACTTCTCAGATTTAACATCAAAGCAAACTATCACATACTCCTCCGTCCTGAAATCAATGCAAGCGAGGTAATACAAAACCCCATCTATGCAAATCATATGACGATGAGTGCCGATAGTATCAGGGAAGGGAACATTATGGTATTTACATTCGATCATTCTCCATAAAAGTTCTCCAGTCTCAATTGTCATAACCCAAGCCTTGTTTGTGTTGAAGTAAGCTGCTGTACGCAACAATTTGAATTTTTTCTCGGTAGGATCATACCCGCCATAAATTACTGGATGCCATAATCCAAAGTTCGTAATTTTAGGTAGTGGAAGAAGCTCTCCAGTGGCGGGATTACAAATCACCGTCTCTGTATAGTCACAATTCCTATATTTACAACATACCAGTCCGTGGAGCGATGAGGTTACCTCATGATATGAGTAATGAGTTTTATAACAGGTGGCTACAGCAGAGGAGTTGGGAGTCTGGGGTGTAGAGAAGAACAATAACTTTCCATAACCATGAACTGTGAACAAGAGCCGTGGACGATTCGAGGACTTGGTTAGAAAGAGTTCAGTGAAATATGGACGGGTAAGTATTGATGCCCATGATTTCGATAGGCAACGAAACCTAGCTACATACTTGGACGGTACACTCGAGATTATAGCGATAAGAAGATCTTCTGGGATTTTTGGTTATCCTCTGGTACGAGCTGTTTCAGTTTTTTCATGATCCTAGATAGAGTCTCTTTTAGGTTTAGGGACAAAGGCAAACTGTTTTTTTATCTTGATTCTCAAGTTTTCAACTAGATATATATAAGGTACGATCTCAATTTTGGACTATATTGGGCCTAATATCAACTAACCCAAAAAGCTGCTTTCTACAAACTACGAATGGGCCTAATATCATCTTAGATTCCTAACACCCATTTTCAACAGGTAAAAGAGGACCCTATATTTAAGAGCTCACTCTCATTTTAGTGAATTCTTCCTGTTTAGATTACATCTAAACGAAGTCAAGAGGTCAAATAAACAGTTTGAACAAATATTTACGCAGTGCCAGAAAACAATTGTGTCGTTCACAGAGTCAATATGACGAACTACCGGCGGTTTGGTTCATAGAGTCAATATGAATCTGTTTCTATGTTGATGTCAAAAACTAAAATAAAAAAATTGTATATTTTAGACTAAATTACTTTCCTTCTAACATAGCAGACTGGGAGTATTTACCTGGCCTATATCTAGTCCTCACTTGAGAGGGAAACTGGAGGGCTCAGGCGCTTGCTTATTGTCCTGCAACTGCATCAACTGAGCAAAAAAAAAAACAAGGAGCATTTTAAAACATACTGGTTCTTGCATCAGAAGGATATAAACCTAGCAGTCGTCGTTCTCCATTGTTCTATAGGCTTTCAGTTATTAAAAGAAACCTCAGACATAGATCCACGCACACAACTATTTGTGTCAAGAACATATCACAGCATCCATCAAAAGCAAAACTTTTTATTCCAATTCTTATTTACCTTCCAGTGGTATTACTACAAGACTACTACAACTGGGACAAATTCTAAAAACTGAAGCAGAGAAAACACCCATGAAAGGGAGACAACCTTAAAAAATTCACATTAAACAAAAAGGTTAGATAGATCATAGACGTAACATGTTTAAACTAAATCTATAAGACGCCCAAGACCACGAGTTAAGAGTTAAGACATGGCCGTAATAGGGAAAGGTCCGGTAAAGAAATCCATTCGAGAAGTTTGAGGCTCAACTACTTCTTCGTGTTTCTCTTCTTCATCTTCATCCTCTTCAGCATCCCAAAGAAACCGCGCATATGAAGCTTGTACATAACTGCACAAAACAATTTAAACTATAAACAAACACAAAAGCCCCCACACAAAGAGAAGAGAGCTTTGACAAGTTACCAGTCATCAGGAGCAGCTGCAACAGCTCGATTGAAGTAAGACTCAGCACGTGACGAATCCTTATGAATCATCCACACAAGCTCCGCGTACATAGCTAAAACATTCCCATCGTTAGGACTCACCAGAACAGCTCTCCCGCAATACTCCTCTGCTTTCAAGTAATCTTTCCGTACCTGTTTTTTCAAAATCAAAACAAAATAAATATATCACAATCCAATCCAAAGTTCCAAGCTTTCAGATCTGTAAAGAGAAAAAGAGTAAGTAAGTGTGTATACCTCTTTCAAGAACTTAGCGTAATTACTGAGAAAAATCCCATTTCCAGGATTAGCTTCAATCATCTTACGATAATGAACATCTGTAGCACTATCATCTCCATCATCACCACCGTCAGATCTTCCTCCACTTCTTCTCTTTCCTCCGCCACCGCCGCCTCCAACCTCATCCTCCAAACCCCAGCTTAACCCTAACTCATCGTCGTATGAAGAAGTGCGTATAATCCCGAATCCGATTCCTTCCTCAACATCCTCCATAACAGCTCCGGTGAGGAACTTACTCGACGGTTTAGTCGATGTCAGATGTTTAAGATCGGTTTCCGACGCCGTTCTTTTGATCCTCCTTGAAGATTCGTCGCTGGAGTGGATAGACATCGGGCTGTAACAGCACGAGGAAGAGGAGGAAGAGAGGATTATGGATCTGGGCCGTTGGATCTGATGAAGAGATTCGGTTTCGATTGGACTCGAGACGTGGACCAATGAGGTGAGAAGTGGAGTCGAAGCGCTTCGTAGAAGCATAGTTTTTTCTAGGTTCTGAGATTCTTCTTGATTCTACGATCGTTAGAAGAAGAGACGATCGATGGAGATATTTTTTTTTTCAGGTTTATGGCTTGTAACTGCTGTGAGCTGTGTATGAGAGAAGTGAAGAAGATGCTTTATATACAACTAGTGTGATTTAATTATAAGAAGGTGAAGGAAAAGCAATCTCAGCCGTCGATTTTTATTTTTATCACGTGCAAAAGAAATATTTTTTTTATTTGACTTTTCAATCGGTGATTACTGTGCGCGCGTATTCTCTGCTCCGTTCGTTTGTATTCTTAAGACGATTTAGAATTTTTTTCTTTTTTTTTTCAAATCTAATTAAAGTTCATGGAATATCACTTGCTCTTAAATGTTACAATTAGCCAGCTCGAATGGTACTACATAAACTATTTTTGTTTTGCTAAAAGCCAGATTATTTTTCTTTACAATTTTCATTATCAACTCCTCCAACCTGTCATGTGGTTAACTGCTGATTTACATTACGCGTTAGAAGACCTCTGTGTTACCAGTATTTTCAAAACATCTCATCATGAATCTCTGTATTCACGAATAATACTTTTAGAATATGAAAACCTACCTAATCATTTAGTGCGATCACGATTTAATCAATGCAAAAATGTCTATCTTATATTTGAGCTAACCAAAAAAATAATTATTTTACCTTGAAAAGAAAAGAAAACAGAATATATGCTAAATCAACTTTTATCACTTGAATTTTTTTTCTTTTTTTTGTGATTTGCACATATTATGTGTATATCAACCCTTATTATTTAACTTTTAATATATTTTGTTTTATCAATTATTACAGCAAATGCTCATTTGATTAAACATTTGGTGTGAACAAAGTAGAAGCCTTCGACACCAGGTTGTTTATATCTAAACAACAAAATATCGTACGTCCCTTGCGCCAAACAATCCGCATAGACATTTTTACAATGTGAAATCAAACAAATATAGAAATAAAAGCATTAACACTTTAATTGTTGATTCAAATTGAGCTTAACAAAAAAGCTAGCCTGACTAAAAATCTATTGACAAACGTGGCATCTAGCACATTGGTTTTAAAAGTTTGGTTCCCGAAGGTCACGGAATTGCAAGTGGACGGCAGCCACTGACCAAATAAGGTCCACGACTCCACTGCCAGTACCTCTCTACAGATCACACGTGGAATCATTATTCATTCTTCACAATGTAATGAAATTAATATATAGTAGACACGTGCAAAATATGCTAATTGTTTTAAAACAAAATAGATACTAGTAACGAGTATCAAGTGGGTGGATGGGTTCCCCTTTCATTGCAGGAGTGGGTAACTATTCCATGTGCATTAAGATTGACGTTGTAATCGACGATTTGCCCGCATAACCATTTATATCTCCTATTCTTTGGTTTGTCTCATTCTAAGTTGATAACATGGCCTTGTCTTTGATACTGACTTTTATAGTGCAACTAGTGTTAATTAAGTCGACAACATGACTTAAATTTAACGGCAGAATCTAATTTGATTTACAGTTTTATACCCTAACCAGGACTCATAGACACAAGATGAAAAATGCATATTGGTTTATACTTTTATAGTGTAGGAGGAGGTAGACAAGGGATTTTTCCTTTTTGGGTAAGAAATATTCATATTGGTAAATTTATATCACATCTGGACCTGGAAAAACGTAAGCTTCACTTGTTCTAAACAGGAAATTAAAATGCAAGATTTTTTTGTATAAAGATGTACAAATTACCATTTGAAAATATAGTCTAATATATAAAGTTTGAACAATTATAAATCCAAAACTATAGGCTTCAAATATACATTCCTGATAAATTAGAATACAATCTCTATAATACTATTTGAGAAGTCAGTTTCCTACGTGTCGCGTTCACGTTAACTCTCGCGATGGTTGATTACATATGTACCCTTAATGATTTGTTAGATTTTAAGATTATTATTTTTATTTAGTTTTTTTTTTACTTTTTTCCAAATAACATATACAATAAAAAGGAAATATTTCTAAAATTTTTTTAAAAAAATTAAAACCGAAAATATATGTATATAATATGATTTTATTAAAAAGAAAAATTCACAAAATAGTAATACCCCATTAATATATATTTTAAAATAACATAAAATATATTTTCAAAATAATAAAAATATATATGTTCATGAATATCCAAAAACTTATTAGTTGCACTTTATTTTCTAATATTTTTTTAGAAATCAACATCTAATTTGATAATTATTATGAAAATACATGTATATTTAAGCGATAAATAAAACTAATTTGATTTGATTTAACTAAAATAAATAGTAAATAAATAGTATGAAAATACATGTATATTTAAGCGATAAATAAAACTAATTTGATATGACTTCAACTAAAATAAAAAGTAATTATTCTTCAAATTTTAATTTAAAAATATATTATATTCAATATACTCAAAAAATTAATGACTCGACTAATCTAATTTATATTCAAAATTAATCAACTAACTACAATAAGAACATATAATTTTATAATAATAATAATAATATTAATAATCTATTTAGTTTTATAAATATAAATTAGAGGTTGAATCAAAGCATAATAAAAAGAAAAAGAAAATATTAACCAATTACAATTTAATTCTTTTTAGAGTTTATATATATATATATATATATATATGCATGAGACTTGAAAATATTATCATTATATTCATTTATGTAATTTCGATTTAAACACTTCAGCTTATTATTTATTTCATTTTAAGCACAATATATATATATATATATATATATATATATATATATATATATATATATATCTATATATATTTAGCTATATATAATTTAACTATAATATATTTACATATCTAAGAATATATTTACATATATAAAGATAATAACCAACCGAAATGAAAATAAGAAAATTAATCAAAGTTTTATTATATTTAGAATAAAAAATATTATAGCTGAATTCAAAAAATAAATATTATCCAATATACCAAATTGATAACCAAACCGACTATTGATCAAAAAAAAAATTAAACCGACAATAATATATCCAAAGTCATATGTATAATTAGAATAATATAATATTTATTAATATAAATTATACATATAAATTGATTAAAAACTAAAACTAAATACCAATCAATTATTTATTTCATTTTAGCACAATATATATTAAGTTATACACAATTTAACTATAATATATTTACATATCTAAGAATATAGTTACATATCTAAAGACAATAACCAACCGAAATGAAAATAATGAAATTAATCAAAGTTTTATTATATTTAGAATAAAAAATATTGTAGCTGAATTCGAAAAATAGATATTATCCAATATACCAAATTGATAACCAAACCAACTATTGATCCGAAAAATAATTACACCGAAAATAATATATCCAAAGTTATATGTATAATTAGAATAATATAATACTTATTAATATAAATTATACATATTAATAGATTCAAAACTAAAACTAAATATCAATTAATTATTATAAAATTTTACTTTTATGAATATTCATATCCGTGCATAAGCACGGGAAAATCACCTAGTCAACAATTATCGAACGATCAATGAAATTTTTTCAAACAAACATGCATAGTAAGATCCACCTATTATTATCATTTTAATTTTAATCCATAACCTTTAAAATGATCATGCTCAAATTATATACAGTGCCGGTCTAACTTTTAGAAAAAAGTGTAATGCCCTATTCTAAATTACAAATTTCTGTCCTTATTCTATGTATAATTTTTTTTGTAATGTCTTACATATAACTAAAATTTTGTATAAAATTGAATGTTCTAAGCGGTTGGTTCTCCCGGACCGGATCTGATTACATACAAAGTGAAATGAATAATTATCCGTTTATTGTTTTGTTGTTTGTTATGTAAGAACAACAATTATCATTCATCCTCTCCTCGATATCAATTGGTTAAAATGGCAGCAAATAAGTGGAAACTACAAGAAAGGGTGTGCGTCAATTATTGATGAAGTTGATTTTTCCTGGAATCAAGCTGTCAACGATTTGACTGGGGGATGGAAATTATAACAAAAGTTATAAAGAAGCATTATGTCCAAACGTAGAAGTGTCCAAAGATTGGAAAGTGAGGGGCCCAGGGATATGATCATTTGGGTGGGCTTTCTGTAACCTCACCTGTGGGGCCAACGTGGCCAGAGCTCAACGGTGGGGAAGAGGTCTTCGTCTTCCATGTACCTACCCACTCCTTTGTATTTGATTCGCATTTAGGGGGTTTGCTTTGTGCAGCAGCATTTTATAGAATTTTTGGAAATGTGATCATAAATGTCCAAATGACCACGACCGGTGTATTATTAATAAAAAATTCTATCATAAAATGTATGAAGGCAACATATGTTTCATCAGGAAATCTAAAAAAGAAAGTACTCGGAAGTTTCAAATACCTCTTTATTCAGGTCAAATAAGGCACAAATCAAGTGAGTATAGAAGAGCCTACGATTGACCGAAGTAAATAAAGTGTTAATAAACTGCGATTACAATTCGAGAAAATCAAATACGAAATTGATGGTTTAACTTGCTAATTCCCTTGCTTGAAGAGAATGGATGCAAGACCAGACCTCCATCCAAAAACCGCTGCTGGCTCAGGCCTTTTGTGTAAAAGCGATGCGAGACCTGCTGATACTCCCTGACCAGGAAGCCTCACCACCTCCTGATTAGCAACCGACTCTGAAAACCTGTTTTTAATCACAAAATACTGTCAAGTAAGCTCCTTGCTACATTCAACTCTGCAAAGAAAAAAACAAGAGCCCCCCAATGTCTCAATCTGCATCTCTTGTTTGAGACGTTGGTTACAGCAGGAGCAGGAACTGTTCAATATGTTCTGATTGAAAAACAGCTACTAAATCTCATCATACTCAGTTACTAATGTCAGACAGTAAATGATCTACACTGGTCAAGCAAAAGCATAAACTTTGGTTTCTTCAGTATATTTGCACAAACCAGAAGCACCTATCTAACGTATTTAATCATCGAAAAGCTAAGAGAAAAAAAACAATTAAAGCAACACAGAAAATCACTTACAAGGGAGGAGGTATGATTCCATCATGAGCAATGGAGGAGAATCCCTGCCTTTGCTTGTGCTTAGGATTGGACGAACATATAACATAAACACGACGGCGGCGTTTCACCGTCTTACAAAACTCACACAACTTCTTCACAGATGACCTCACCTTCATTTTTCTTCCTCACTCTACAATCCAAAAAACACCATTAAAATCTTGCAGACACAAAACCCATTAATTACCACATGAATAAAAGATAACTCTTTAAGCATATAGATTGAGATTCAAAGCTAAAGATGTCTACTTTTCTACCCAGAACTTGCTCCAAAACGAATCTGAAACATCAAATCTATAACTACACACTAGTCCAAATCCCTCGACAGATCCAGACACGAAATCGAATGAAAACCACTGTAAAACCCAAATCCAGAAGAAGAAGAAGAAGATACCTTTGGGCGACTACGAAGAGGAACCGATCGATATCCAAATCGAAAATGAAAGGGTTTTAGAAAGTGTGAACCCTTTAGCTAAAAACAGGGGACACTTGCATATTTTTGATATAAATTAGATGGGCTTTCTATGGGCTTTATTATTAGGCTTAACCCGAAACGAAGATACGATCCGCGAATAAGACCCGACCCGGATTTATTAGATCTAAATAAACCGATTAAGAGCGCCCGAATCATTTTAACGACTTGCGTCACCGTCGAAATCTAAGCTTTTCCGTGACGACGGAGATGGACAGCGACATGGAGATCTCACTCGACAGGCTCCCGATAAAACGACTAGAATCAATCGAGGAGAACGGCGCGGAGCGTTTCCCTTCCGACGTAGATTACGACGACAAGAGAGTCTCGTTGATCCGGAGAATAGACTTCGCGTGGGCGTTAGAGGAGGAAGAAGACGACCTTAAAAACAAGAATAAGCAGAAGAAGAAGAAGAAATCGAAAGAGAGCTCTGAGCAATGGGAATGGAAAGGAATGGTGGAGAATCTGCAATTGGCTCATCAAGAGATCTCTGTCATCATAGACCTTATCAATACCGTGAGTGTGTGTGTGAACCAATGTGAATATGAATTAATGGTTTGTGTGGTGATGAATGAATGAATGAGATGGATGTTTTGTTAGGTGGTAGCTAATGATGCAGTGACAGTGGCGGGGATGACTAGACCTAAGCCTATGCCTAATGAGATTCTCTCGGATCTTGCTGTTTGTACTGCTACCAAGTTGCAGAGCTATAGGGTAAACTGTGGTTTAGTTTCTTTATGTGCTAATTAACTTTTAATTTTTTGAAGATGATGGAAGGATTCTGGTACTTTTGTTAGTGTATATTAAGTTAAGTGTTGGTTAGCTTATGTGTCATCTTTGGGTACTTGTTTTTCCTTTGTAGCATTTAGGGAAATACTTCAAGCAATCAGCGAAATCTTTGGAGCAGAAAGTCAATCACGAGGCGAGGTTTTATGGTGCTCTTATCAGGTTTGAGCATTTTCTAATAGTTTTTTTCATGCATTATATGCGAGCTCCGATTCTGTGAACAAAAAGCTTTAGGGAAGCTTCTAGTTTCTTTAATGGCATTTTGCAACTCTGAGAATTTTTCTTTTTGCATTGTTTATGCTAGTTTTAAGTTGATTACAATGGCAAAGCTAATTGTCGTTTCCTCGGATAATTGGTGCCTTTTTTTGGTTCTAGGAAGATTATGCTCATAGGTTTTGTTAAATGGTATGACTTTAATCAATGTGTAATATATGTCAAGTCTGATTCTGTGAACAAGAAGCGTTAGGGAAACCTCTATATTTATTGGTATTTTGCATCTCTGCGAGTTTTTCCGGTTTGCATTGTCATAGCTATTTGTCTTGTCCTCAGATTAATGGTGTAGGATGATTATTCTCATAGGTTTTGTTATATGTTATGACGTTAATAAAGGTGTACGCATCCTGTTTTTCTTGTTTAATGTGATGAAACTTTGTAATTTGGACTTCTGCATCCTCTTTGTTGCTAAATTCTGCATAATACAGTACTTCAGAAACATCCAGTTTGTTGTGTAGGGCCTTCTTAGGACAAAGCCAAGTTGCGTACTCCGTTTGACATTATTATAGTTTGCAGAAAATCACTTTATATTTGAGAGTAGAAATTGCTGGTTCTCGTAAATGGTAATTTTTTGCTATGTTGACAAGCTTATAGGTTGCAGCGGAACTGGAAAGTCAAGCGACAGCGTGTACTTGCTTCAAACGCCAGCAATGAGGGTTTCACCATTGATCTTTCCGACAGTTCATTATATGATCCGGCTTCTGCTTTTCGGCCATCTACACTGTCCACTATTCGTGTGGAACATGATTCAGCTGGTATGCTGGCCATTAATCTCCCCCAAGATTCATGGTACTCCCTCCGGTTTGGGTTTGTTGGCTTAAACTCGATTGATAATCCAAACGAGTCTGACGAGCACATAGACTCAACCACCGGTCAGGATTCAACATCAGAGAAGCAGTCAGTTAGTGACGATGAATCTGTTAAAGAAACTCATTCGCTACTAAGGGAGGTGCATAAATCTATTTTTGCTGAGCAGGTAGGGTTTTTTTGGTCATTTATCTCGTCCTACTTTGGTAACTCTACATGTCATTTTTCTCACCTCTTTGGTCTTCTTACCAGTTATTTGACATGCTAAACCGCGAAGCATTCAGTGAAGGTGTGGGATTCAGCATTAGTGGAATACGAGAAAACTTTATGGAAATGAACATTGGCCAAGGAGCTTCGTTGTTTGTATCTCTTTACCCATCGGGCAAAAACGCCAGCATCAAGAAATCGGAATCTGCGAACATGCTTATTGAATCATCTGGCAGAACAGAACCAGCAGAAGGAGATTATCGTGTGAACAAGCTAGGGTTCCCTAGTCGTGCCAGCTATGAAATATACTTGCAACAGATTTTTCACGAGCACGCCTTTGGAAAAGCTAAAGACCAGCTCAAGTCAAAAAGCAACAGACCATCCAATCAAACCACAAAGGACCACAACTCTGGGCTTCTTGACCATTTCTGCTTATCTTTGGCTCATAGAATCTTCTCAGCTAGAGTTCTCGTACAACTAGAAAGCGTGGTATGTTCCCTGCTTCATTAAGAAACTTCTTGTCATCTTAGATCCTTCTGTTTTTCTTGAAATAATTGCTGCTTCCTACTTGAACAGGTCTGCAAGGTCCCGTATCTTCATTTGCTATCTCATCCTACATGGAATTCTCGGACATCTTCATGGACTGTCCTCATGACTGTTCCTCCATCAATCATCCCTCAAGGAAGTTCGGAAAGCCAGTCTCTAGATGGTAAACGGAATCTTAAGACGCAGTTCAGAACAAAAGTGGTGGTGAAGGATGATTGTATCAGTATCGAAGCGGAATGCACCCCCAACGTGGTTGGCTTACGGAAAAGCAGTTCCTGCAATTTATTCTCCATGAACAAATATGAGTGCGACTTGGCCGACCTTCCCGTGATAATTCTCCAACAGGTGTGTTCTCACACATACTCCTGTCCTAAAATCATGTTTTATTGATGGGAAACACTAAAAAATGACAATTTTGGGAAGGTGGCGAGCCAGATAGTGTGTTGGCTACTGGAGGAAGCAAGGACGGTAGGGACAAAAGCGAGCAGGGATTTTCTGTCTCTGTCGTTGGAGATAGTGGAAGGGGAGAGAGTGAGTCTTGTGGGGCAAGTAAACCCTGAAGACGTAAAAGGATGCATCTCATGGTGGCTTGTGATGGAGAATGGGTGCACCGAGGAGAGGAAAGGAGTGTCGGAGAGTCGAAGGTCGTTGGGGCATTTGTCTCTGGATGTGTTGTACTCTGTCCTCATGGATTTGATCAATTTGTGTGGTAGTGGTCGGAATGCGTTAGACTGATTGTAAAAGAACAAGACAAGGCTTTTTAATTTGGTGTTCACTTTTGATAGAGATTTTATAAGATTTCAATGGTTAGCAACACTCTTAAATTAGCAGAAATGATTGATATAAATATTTTGTTTTCTTCATCAATGTTGTTTTGCTAAAAGCCTAAAACCAGTTTAAGGAGATGCATCATGTGATTTTGATTAAATAATAATTATAATCCTTGTTTTACATTATTGTTTCCATTTTTGATAATAACCTTATTTGATAGTGAAGAAAGAGAGGGGTAAAATAGGGAAAACAATAATAACCTCTCGCGAACTTTTCTTTCTTCCTCGTCTCTCGATCCCTCTCTTCTCGTCGCTGATCGGTAGCTAGATTCAAGCTTCGAAACCCTAATTTATTTACCCATTACCATCGATTTAAGCTCAACTCCAGGTTTCTGTTCCATTTTCCTCTGATATTTCTCCCATTTTTCCTGCTTAATTTTACGATTTTGCTTTTGTTGTTAATCACCGGATGCTTCTGTAATGCAATTTGTTAATAGAATTTAACGAATGGATGTAGAACTGATAGGTTTTGAATGACTCTTCGTGAAAATCGACTTTTCTTATGATCCCGTACCATTGTTTATCTGATTATTTCAGATTCAAGGACTTTCTCAGGTGCTTCTGTGATCAGTTACAATGGTAACGATTGCCTTCTCAGATCCATTGAATTTTTATCTTTTTTTAATAGTGGTCTGAGCTGTTTAATCTTTTTGATATTTTGACAGTCAGCGTTGTTCAATTTCCATTCATTTCTGACGGTGGTGCTGCTCGTGATCTGCACTTGCACATATCTCAAGATGCAGTTCCCTGCCATTCTTGAGCAGAAAACTGGGTTTGTTACCTTCCTCCTTTTTCTTGATTTGGATTCACCTCGTATTGGTTCCTAGAAGAGCCTAGAACACATTATTAGCGCCTTCAAACGGATTATTATTCACAAGCGTTTGCTAATCTTGCTTCAAATCGTTACTTTGCGTCCCATATGGTTCACAAGTTCTAGTGCTTTCTATGTATCTATGATCTCTATTCATCACTTTGGTTAAGTACATATTGATGTTGACAAAGTGCTTGAAAATAATATGCTTTTGTCCTTGCAGGTTTCGAGGGTTCTTTTGGAAAGCTGCTAGAATAGGTATCCCTTCTTACCCCTCTATGCATCTGTTCTTATCGATTGATACTAATGAGGGGTTTCTAGGAGCTAAACTTAGTTAGTAACCAATGCAGCTACTCATAGTTTAACTTCGTTTTTAATCGCATAAATACAAGCTCTTGGACTATATCCTCTAGCAGTTAGTGTGATTCGTTTAAACGTTCTGTTGATTAAAATTTGCTTTGTTATTGTCACACTTGTAACAGGTGAACGTTTGAGCCCTTGGATGTCTGTGGGATGTTTCATGATGGGTGTCTCCATCATTTTCTTTTGAGTCTCTACTAATCACACTGTAGATTTTACTTCTTTGAGATCCTGTATGCAAAAGAAAAGTTTCGATAAAACTGAAAGAGTAATACATTCTCTTTGGATTATAGATTTGATCTTTGTATTTGAAACGTTCTTTGTGTTGTTTTTTATGTGAAGACTTAAGTCTATAAGCCCCGAACTGTAGAACATATGACATCGGAGCCACCAAAATATATAACACACACAAAGGATTGAAAACCATATGGGCCTAAATATATTACCCAGGCCCATTATAAGAGGTGTATATATATAGAAGTAACGTAGCTTAGCCTACGTTTATTCGTAAATTTTTCAAACCGAGAGAAACTCGTCCCCTTAGAGCCCTAACTTCCAGCACAAGATGGTACTCTCTGTTCTTTTCAATTTCATCTACCAAAATTTATCGAAACATATGTTTCTCTTTGACTGTCTTATTTGGTCTTTTGTTTATGTTTCTCTTGCAGACAGGAGAAGTTGATGTGAACCCGGAAACATATCCGCTTGCAGATTCTCAGATAACGATAACTATTCTCGATCTAATTCAACAAGCTGCCAATAACATGCAGCTCAAGAAGGGTGCTAATGAAGGTACCTTGTTAAATTTATTTAGCTTGTTATATTTCCACTTTTAAAATTTTTGAAACTAAAACTTATTTTTTTGTATAATTTTTCTCTGTTTTATTAATTTCAGCTACGAAGGCACTTAATCGTGGGATGGCTGAGTTTGTGGTTTTGGCTGCAGATGTAGATCCCTTGGATATTCTTCTTCATCTTCCTTTACTATCTGAGGATAAGGTTTGGTTTCTTCCTTCTTTGTTGTTTAGACATTTACTTCAGAGTTGGTTGTCTCTTTGATTAAAATAATAAATTAAGTTTTGTATATTGTTTTGTTCACTGAACTCTCGTCTTTTTATGTTGCAGAATGTTCCGTATGTGTTTGTGCGTTCAAAGCAAGCCATGGGAAGAGCATGCGGTGTATCAAGACCTGTTATTGCTTGTTCTGTCACACCAGTCGAAGGTGGTCAGTTGGAAAAACAAATCCAGCATCTCAAGGATGCTATTGAGAGGCTTCTTATCTCAGAATAACAATCTTAGATTTGATTGCTCGGTATGATGGGTTTCCGCATATGGGAAAGGCTTTGACTGAAAGTTTTGTTTATGCAAATACCAAATAAAAAACCGTACATATTCTATCTTTTTACTTACAAGTTTTTTGTATCTTATAACAACACATTGATAATGAATACATTTATCTTTGAACTGGTTTTTGCTTTGGTTTTGTGTTGAATTATTGTGGTGGTTTATTTGTGAGTGTACTTTTTTTTAACTTAGAAGCTCAGCTCTTTGATGCCAAAAAAAAAAAAAAAAAAAAAAGCTCAGCTCTTTTAAATTAAGATCTAAAAGACAGATCTAAGATCATCACATGTAACATTCAGACAAGTATAGACTATACAATGTGAAACTAAGAAGAGTCACAATAGCACTTGTAAGATTCAATTAAATGATTAAGATCTCATGGTTGTCAAGAAAATCTCTAATGTTTACTTGTTCAACTCAGGAAATATAGCAAGATGGCTATGGGAAGTAAGAGATAAATCTGAAAGTGGTATATTATATCAAATTACTACAACCCAACACAGTAACAAAGTTACAACCCCTAAGAACTTTTTAAAAGGACCAGAGACATTGATAAAATGTATGGTTTTATAAATATGTTAGCTTCTACTGTAATAGAAGTGGAAAAGTAATGCCTCCCTCCACTCTCTATTTAGCTTCTTGCTCCAACAACGGAATCTTCTCTAACCCGTTTAACTGTAGAGGAGGCAGAGAGAACACGCTCACTGTAGAGCTTTTACTCCTGATCTCCTTCAAAACACGCAAAGCAGCTATAGTACTTTTCATGTGGAGACTCTCCATGAACTTGTGCTCTGCTTTAACACTCTCATCAGACTCTGTTGAAACCGTAGTATGATCCTCAGATTCATCTGTAGCCGGGAAGAAACCATCAAGCATAGCTTCGGATTCCTTGATAAGCTTGTACAACAAGTCAGTAGTGTAAAAGGGTTGCTGAAGAACTTTTTGGATGTAAGGTAAACGCATGAGATCACCGGTACGCTTGTCATACTTCTTCAGTATCTTAACCAGACCTGTGTAGTTTAGAGCACTGTAATTCTCGAGGAGAACCATCTCTCCATGGAGATCAACGATCTCTTTCCTTATGCTCATCATCTTCTCCTTTGAATCCTTACACTTGACAATCCTATCTCTCAGTTCCTGTTTTTATCAGATTCATATAACAAATCAGCTATATGAAACAGACAATTTGGGCCTTGTACGGGCTTTCAGGCCCAAGAAGATTTGAGATGTTTTTTATTACCTTTAATCTGATGATGTATTCTTCCTCTTTCTCAACGAAGAAGTTGTTGAACTTCTCAAGCTCGTCCTCTAGCAATTGGATGAAACTGATCTCTTCTTTCGACATTCCGACAGAAGAATCGTCGAGCCGGAGACGTTTTGAGGGACGATCTCCGGATTTGGAGTCGATGAGTTTGAGACGCTTCTTGAGGTCTTTGTAAGATAAGAACTTGTCACGCCATTCAGGTAGTGTCTGCTCGATCTGGTTGCTTAGACTCTTACCAAACTTCATGCTTTCTTTCTTCTTCTTTTGTTTTAGTTTTGTTTTATATTTCGAGTGTGAGAAAATGATGGAAAGTGGAAATGGAAGTTAGAGATATATAATAAGGATGATAAAAAGGGAATATTCGGGTTAGAATATCCATTTTTTGTTGTCTTAATTTCGGGAGAATATCTCTTGGTATCATTCCTTTCTCTAATCCTTTTCATTTGCTAGCTGTGGGGTCATATCACAACACATGGCAACTGTCGGTTAACACTAAATTCCATCAGTCACAACCGGTTAAGGTTTTCCATTGATGAATTTTGAACATGACTAGCAATTTGCCTAGTTAAAGTGATCCAGTTCCATTTTTCTAAATTCAATCTTTATTTTAAAAATATAATTACAAAAGTCAAATATTTTGAAATATAATCATCATCAACAGTCAAAACGTGTATTGTATAATTTTGTTTTAATCCTATCTTTATTACTGGTAATAACTATAAATCCAGGTCAGATAGTCATGATAAATGACACGTGGGACACTGGTCTTCGTGATCTATCAATCTCTCCATGATCATTTTTACGAGTAGTAGTTTTGACGACAACCACTTTTGATTTTAGAGAACATATATTTAATTTAAAAATAATATTATAAAAGGTATGTGAATGGTCATAAGTTCTGGGGGTCCAATCGATCGTGGGAATATTCGTGAGATAAGAAAGGGCATAAAGTATAAACCATTGGCATCTTTTTCTTTTAACTTTAAAGCATCCAAAACTCCACAGGACAACCATTACACCCAATTCGCGTCTCTATTCATACCGTTTGACCAAGTCTATATGCAAATTCTGCAAAGCTTGTATGTTACTTTCCAACTTGTCATCAATCTTTAATGTTAAGACTACTAGTCCATGAATATCTATTGCAATTTTAGACATGTAGAAAATATTTATGACACTGTGACGCCCAATATAACATTACTACGCTGTGGGTTGACTAATGATATTAAAGGATTTTAATTTTTTTCAGTGTATTTTTTTTTTTTTTTCAAATGCTTACTCAAATAAAATTTCAACTCAAATTTGAAAATCTTATGACATGGTCATTGCTTCAAGAAAAGATATTGTACATTCTGATGTTGGAGTTTCATGAGTTCATTATCTTTGATTAGGTCGGTAATAGATTTACGCACGATACATGGGTTAAGCCACCAATTAATGATCCTGACTTAGATGTACACTTATTAATTAAACATAACATAAAAGTGTAAGGCATGGTCACATAGCTGATAACTGATTGCTGTTTACAAGAGGCTAAATCAAAAAAAAAGAAACTACTCATCTTCTTGTTCACAAAAGAATTCATATCCTTCATCACAAAACTGAAAACAATTCAGACTACATTCGATTCTCATCTTTGATGTTCAAAAGAAACTCAAAAGACTTTCTTCTGGAGTCTTAACATTATGAATTTTGTTTCAGTCACTTCCCCATTTCCGGACAACGCTTTCTTTAGCAGAGACATCACTAAAACCATCCTTCTTCCACATCTCCTCTGAGTTATCACCATTCACTTTGGAAACTTGTCTTCCCACGAGTTTGGAGCTTAGAGAAGTCAAACCTTCTCGAGTACCTCGCAGGGCATACAACAAAGGGTTTAACACAAATGCAGCCATTACTTCACCTTTCGCAACTACCATATACTGCCAACCATTAAACAATCCCCATCAACAACGAATAAGAATGGTTGGTTGTGGTAAAGCAAAACGGCCTACCACAAAGAGTATTGCTAAGAGAGTAATGGTAATCTGTTGTGCTTCATTCCAGAAGTGATCTCCACTAAACCAACCACCACGACCTCCAAACCAGCCTCCACTTCCTCCATTCCCGCCGCCACTGGATTCTTCCCTTTTCTTGATCTCTTTGTCCCACTTGTCAAACTCAATTTTCTTCCCGCCAAGAGCGCTTTCCAATGCTTTACGAGCTTGCTCCTAGCACAGCCAATGAAATTTGAAAAGACCAGTATTAGCAACCAAGTCATGATATACTTCTACATCTTTAGAGCATACAAAAGAGAGAGAATTAGAGGAGCTGAAACAAGGAAGCTCGAGTTTTCAACTTTTCTTGTATCAAAAAGATTAAATGCGATCATGTTTGGGAAATAAATGCTTGAAAAAAAGTGTTTCTTTTATATAATATCAAGAGAAGTAGGAAAGCTAAGAAGCTGTTTATTCTCATAACCAAATCAGTAAAACCAGAGAGATGTGATTAATGCGTAGACTATAAAAAAGTCTCTCAAAGGCATGCACACGTGGAAACAGACAATCTAACTAACCTTAAACCGTTATACTAACTGCTACGTAACGAACTCAAACCAGCTCTAGTCTTAAAGGCTACACCTAGTGCGCTACTAAGCTTCCAATTTGTAAAGCGAGAAACTCACAAATACAATCGAAATCATTTGAATCGATTCAAACACTTAACTGAAACCAATTCATACAATTGGAGTACTCTGATTCGTTCCCGATTCCCTTTTGACTTTTGAGCAATCAATCAAGAGGAGCTACAAAAGTAAGTAAGTATCAAACTAACCTCCCTCTGGTTGCTGCCTGAGAAAAGACAGGAGAATCTGGGCTTGCTTTTGGTAATAGAGGTCCGTAGAAAGAAGACAGAGTTGGAGTCGGGGGTAGTCCGGCACCGGAGGTAGATCAGGGGAGGAGGAGGAGGAGGGTTTATCAGCAGCAGACGGATTACATGTCCCATCTCTAACTCTAGCTCTTCCCTTATCCTTACCACAAATGTGATAGAAGAGTCGGAAGTGAGGCTTAGTGGGCCTTTAGCGTTTCTGCTTTTATTTTAGTTTTAAGCCCATAAGCCCATAAGATTGCTAAATGTATGGGAAGAAACTCTGTTAAAGGGTATTTATCTTATCTCTAAGCTTATTTTCTCATCTCAGATTCTTCCCCTGTTCTTCTCCCATTTCTGTTTGAACAAAATGATGATTTGTGGATCTATTTTACGCCCTTTCTATTTCAATATTTTCTTTACTTTTTTTGTATTAATTTTCCCTTTAAATTTTTAATGATGCTATAATTAAAATAGATTTACTTTACTGCATGATTAGGACTGGGCAAATTAACCGAATCCGATCTGATAAAAATGCGTGCGAACCGATCTGAACCCGACATAAATACCAAATGGATCTTGTTTTTTGGTATTTCGGGTTTTGCGTATTATTCAAACCGAACCCGAACCTAAATGGATATCCGATAGATCCCGAAACAATCAAAATCACAAAAAAAATTGTACCAAACATGATTTCAATACCTAGTATATATCCAAGATACTTTAATATATTATTGAACATCTAAAATAATTATTTTTTACATGAAAGTTGATGGTTGCAGATGGTGGTTGAAACTTAAAATTTTTAGTTTTTAGCTTTATTTTCATTGAATAATGTTTCCCATTTCATGAGAACTTGGTTTCGCTTTATGTCTTCATTTATTTGGTTTATTTGTATCAGTAACTATGTTTACCTTTCATTTGATTTTGAATGATCACGTTTAATGTTCTTTCCTTATTTTTTGAATCAAATTTACTTATGTTTTGATTACAAAATAGATATAAATCATATACTTTAAATTAGAAGAATTAATTTTACTCATGTTTTGATTACAAGGTAAATAAAAATCATGTACTTTTAAACCAAAGATCCGATTGGGACCCAAAACCGAAAGTACAATAGGTTATACCGGTTCGTTGAAAATTTACTAACCCCGATCTAAACTCGATAGAACCCGAACCGATTCCAAACCAAATTTTCATATAATCCGAATGAGATTAATTTTGATAAAAAAAAAAAAAAGAAATTCGATTAGAACGCAGACCTATGCATGATTATTAGTTTGGCTAATTTTGTGGTACGCGTTTCAGATTTATCCCAAATAATTTACTTGTCTATGTTGACTTTTTACCCTTCCTATGTATGTATGTTTTGGATAAAATTATTTATCTCGGTGAAAAAAGTGCCTTTGTAGCATTTGATCATAGTACTTATAAACATTCAAGGAAGGTGGTCAACCAAAAAAAACATTCAAGGAAAAAATCCCTCTACAAATCATCTATATATACCTCTCAAACTAACCACATCCACTTTCACACTTATTCACTCCTGCACAAAATGAGTATCTACATTTTTAACCAATGTCATTATGTCACTGTGGTTTAAAATCGATTTCACTACGGATTAATCCTTTGACCACATATAATCTTGGCTATTACTATATTGGAAACTGAATATCATTTATGTTTTTTGTTGTATTATCATAACTATTATCGAGACTGTTGTCGACCTACTAAAATACATAAACCAAATGCACATAACTTCTTAATTAAAAACAAATTGTCTAAGGCCCCTACAAAACTGGTTGGAAGGACAAGAGCCAAGAGGGTCCGGTCCATATATGATCGGGTCATGGTTTGCTGAGAATAATTCGATAATGTTAACGAGATAAAATATCAGATTTGGGGACCCGGATGGCTAATCATGTTGTTCCCAATTAGTCAGCAAAACAAGAACAAGAAGTTATATATATAAAAAACAAGCATCTCCATCTATCTACGTATATATGTATAAATATACATGCTGATTACACTCATTGACAAGAAATAAGAGGTTAATTTCACTTGACTTAGAACAAACCCACATGGTTTGATTCTCTGTCAATCACCTTATTCACTTTTTGTAATCCACATTATCTAATTTGTCTCGGCTCTTACTATTTCCTTGTTAACTCGGCTTAGTTTGAGGTATGATAAAGGGTTCTTACTCAGTGATTAAATAAAATTACGAAAAATTGACTAAAACTTGCAACATAGTGATTTTTGTTCTGTCACCCCCAAAACAATCTCGTAATCACTTAAACAATCTCAAAGCAGTGTCATAATCACTTGTATGATATATATATACACTAATGTTTTTTGTATTAAGCTTGGTTCATGTAAAAGAAAATGATCATTGTCCAGAACTTATAATAACCGAACCTATTTTTGATGCAGCTAGGCAAGTTATGCACATGTGAAGCTAGATTAGTTAATATTTTGTACACATCTAGCTTGTTCCAATTTCAAACTACAATCCTTCTCCGTATATATATATATTTCCATAAGAAAATGTTAGAAATGGTACGTATAAGATGCCCTCCAAATTTTAATTATAAAATATATAATTATATTGATGTATAAAAATTATATTCAATTCTGTGCAGTTGCAAATTTCAAGAGACAAGAGGGAATAATTGAGAGAGAGGACTCCTTTCCTCTCCTCTGACGCTTCCTTATAAATAACGCATATGAGCCATTAAAGAGTCCCACAAATATTTCTACGCAAAAAGCTCTTTTTAAAATGAATACGACAGAGAAACCAAAAAAGAAGAAAAGTCTCATGAGCTTCTACAAGTTCTCCACCACCACTTCGAAGCAGTCACTCATAAACCCTAAATCCACACCAAACAAAGTCCAGATCCCACCATCATCAGTATTTCAAGAGGAGGTATCAAAATCAATCTTGGTCCAGTCAAGTAAAACACAAAACCATCTAAGGAAGGACATCTTCGAGTTAAAGACTACTAGTAATGAGAGAAAGAAAGGCGGTGGTGGTGGTGGTGGTGCGGCGGAGGAGGGGAGGAAGTCGGTGTCTCACGTGGAGAGGGATACGGAGGCGAGGATAGCGGCAGCGGCGGAGATGTTAACGGTGAGGATATTAGCGGCGGACATGCCGGGGTTCATGCAAGCACATGCGTTTAGGTGTGCGAGAACGACGTTAGATAGTTTGGAAAAGTTTAGTTCGAAGCACATGGCTTTCAATCTCAAGAAGGTAATAACATTTCTCTTCTCTTCCATTTTTTTTCGCATTTATTTATTTTTGTCCATTTCTGCTATTCTATCAATTATTTTCATGAAAAAGTATACCACAAGAGGTGGACTATCATGAACAAAAATACAAAATTGTGATGCAAAAACTTACAATATCTCTAAATCATTATTTTGGTAGATTTTATTTAGAAACCGTGTAAAAGGGGTTTACATCTAACCAATGATTATACTCT